TTGACAGGTCATTTAAATCGAAGGTCAAGCCTGCACGGATGAATTCAGGAGAATTGCCACTGAAGACCGAGAGGTGAGCGCTTTGGACGCCTTCGTGAGACGTTTCTAGTGTATCAGAAATGATGTAGTTTTGTCGATATTGTGATAAAACCAGACTGTTTTTGATAAAGTTACCACCAACGACACCTCCAATGGTCAAATGGGCATCAACCGAAGACACAAAGGCTGCGTCCACCATGGCTGAAACTTCATAGCTTCCGACGCGACCCAAAACTTTTCCTTCGTAAGAGAGCTGTGCAATATCCACGAGGTTGGTGACATCAACTTGAAAGCCTGAAAATTGTTCGAATGGAGTGCGCAGTGAAGCACGCGCGATAATGTTGAATCCATCCAAGAAATAATCCACGTGCGTACCAATAACCTTATCTAAGTATCTAATTTCAGCTTGCACACCTTTTCTCGTTCCATTTTCTAGGCGACCGACAATTCCAAATTCACCATAACTCGCAAACGGTGTCTTCATGTTGAAGCTAAGCGTTCGTAGCTCGGGGAAGTTCTTCAGTGTTCCCAATATGTGTATCTCTTCCGAGCCATATTCCACTTTACCTGTGATCGTCGTATATTTATCTGTTGAGAGCAATACTGAACGGGGAACATATTTCACGATTGGCTCTTCGGCGACCATGCGAAGTTCCCACTTATCTCTCCATTGAAGCACGACTTCAGATGCGGCTTCTGCTTTGGGAAATTTAAGCTTACACGCCACTTGACCAACGACACCTTGCAAAGTTTCCGTGGCGAGGAAGAAGACGACGTCGTCCTGGTCTCCATGAAGGTAAATTCGAGCTGGTTCCGTGGTAAGGCGAGCGAACTCCCTTGGCAATGCTCCCTCAAGTTGTAGATTTTGGCCACCTACTAGAGGCGTGGTTAAATTGCCATGAAGATGGTATTGTGTTCTTGAGCTGCCAGGTACCAGAGCGATGTTTATCTCATAGTGAGATATGACTTCAAGAGAAGATGTTAGTCTAGTTGACATACGGAAGCCGTCTTGAGTTTCCATGTAGTTTGTAAGGTGGACTGATACCGGCCAAACAGTTGAGTGGAAACCAATGATGTTCTTAAGATGCATTTTGCTTTTCATAGCATATTGACAAATGAACGATGTTTCGTGATTCCCTGATAGAATCGAACCGTTTGCCATAAGGCTAGTGTTTGAGGATGCGTCCAAAGATGCTAAAATCTTCACGTTGCTAGCTGGAAGTCGAGGGGAGCCGACATCTACCTGCAACTTGTATGGCACTTCCATGTTCATAAAGGCGTTTAGTGTGCTTGCTTCCTCAAACGCCTTCATGGTGGCTGACACAGTCCTTTCGGACGATGTCCCGTTTGTATCTAGAGTCAAGGAGACATCATCCAATCCAAAGAGCGGAGTGTCCAGCCCGGCGAAGACGGTCGTTCTTGTATCCCGTTGCCAGATCTGGGCACCTGCAGTGTGGTGCATGTCTCCGTAGACCAATCTAGCGTTTCCAGTTTCCAGCACCGTGCTGGTCACATGAACCATGGACCCAGCAACGGGGGCGATCGGAAGAACTGGTGACTGCAGTCCGAAGTCGAGACGAGTTATGCCTTCGCTTGTGTCATCCAGAGAACCGTGTGATTCATGAACAGTATCATCGACACCAATCGAAACCTTGAATGACTTTTGTGTGTTGCTTATTTCGACCTCCAAATCCGGTAACATCGTTCCGATTGTTGACGCTTTTACCATATTCGCTTCTTCCGCAAAGTCATACTCGCCGTTCAGAACATTGAGCCCATCGCTGGTGAGGACAGCGTCCACGCTTGCCGACGACCAGTCTTCGCGTCCGCGGCGCACGCAGCCCCGCACCCCTCGCTCCGCCGTGGGCAGGCTGATGTCGAACTGCCCCGAGACACGATCGTCTTCCACCGCGTATGAGAACACCATACTCCTGCGCTGGCCGTCGCCGCCGTTGGTCGTCACCTTCATGGCGATGGTGGCGAGCGACTCGAGGTCGATGGCGACCTGGACGCGCTGCGGCGGGCCGGCGCCGAACGTCTGCATCTGCGCCTGGAGGTGGCGCAGTCCGATCACATAGCGGCCGCGGTACTTGAAGGGCCCGGCGGCCACCAGGAAGTGCAGCGTGCGCCAATCCGGATGGAAGACCTGCACGGAGGCCGAGCGGCCGTCCAGCCGCGCCAGGAAGTCCATCGGTCGCCACTCGTCACTCAGCAAGCGGCCGTAGAAGTTGCGGCTGCCCAGACCGATGTCCAGCTCCAGCAGGTCAGGCTCCGTGCTGCAACATGCAGGGTTTCGTCACCTTTGGTAGGAGCTTTGAACTCGTAACTGACATCTGAACTGATTGAGAGGGAAGGATAAGCTTCAAGCAATACCAATTGATTTAAATATTTGGTACCACTACGTTTGTCCTTTGAACTAGCCTAAACGCAGTACCTAATCAAACACAAATAGTTAGGGGAGAGTGGGGTAAGATGCCCAGGGTGGGAAAGACGCCCCACCCCCTCTAGCGGCGAAACAAAGAATCGAACCTGGAAATTAATGTTCTTAGCGTAAAGCGGAAGCCTGCCTTGTTAACTGCACAAAAAATTTGCGAGGCTCAGTTGGGCAACGGCTGGCTGGTGATTGCATGTTTTTTATTTGCTGCTTTCAAAAAATATTTTGGTGTCAAAACATTGTAAATATCAAAGAAGGTAGATAATTTTTGCGTCCCTTGCTATAGTCGTGATAATTAACATGCGTGTACAGTGTCCCAAACAGTTTGTTTCAGGGTGTAGTTTTATGGCTAACAAATTGTACTAATTTAATGTTACCTCGGTACCTTGGGGTAAGATGCCCCCTGTCCTGATGGGGAAAGACGCCCCCCCCCCTAAATCCGTAGGCTGTCCTTCAAGCAGCCCGTCAAATCATTTATTACATACCTGTGATGAGAGACAAAATCCGATCTGGGACTATTGAGAGTCCAGTACGGTCGGGTGCTCCCCATGCCGGTCTCTCGGCCCACACAGCGACTTTTTGGGCGGCATCTGACTCTGAGAGCCCTTACGACGGCCTCTGTGGGACACATTATTGGCTCCAGGGCCCCTCACGACATCCTTTGAGGGCTCCCACGTTGGCTCCACGGGCCGCGCTGGCATCTGAGGTCCCCACGATGGGCTCGAGGGCCCTCAAGCATCATGAAGACCTATAAGGGCCCCACAGTGGTCTCCGAACGCCACCACGGAGGCTTGTTTGGCCGGGCTGGACTATGATGGCCCTAACGATGACCTCTGAAGCCCCTTACGACTACTTTTAAGGGCCCTTACGATGACGTTTGGTGTCTACTGCTGGCCCGAAGGGACTACTGATTCGTTCAGGCGCTTCACGTGCCCATTTATGTCACTTACATATAGTGCAGGGGGCATCTTACCCAACGCCAGGGGGCGTCTTTCCCACCCTGTGGGGTAAGATGCCCCCTTTCACTTCTTCAGGAAAATGCTTAATAGCAAAAATAAGTTATCATATTTCAAGCACGAAAGTGTGATATTTTTGGAGAAAAATGATATCGGCTTCCGTTGAAACTACAAGTTTTTGCTTTCCGATCGTCATTTTCGAATATATATGGCATAGTAAAACCCTGGGCATCTTTCCACACTCTCCCCTACCACAACGAAAACGTTCCAAATAAATTACCAAACAAGTTTTGGTTCTGCTATTTGTACACTACGTGCAACTGGAACGTTCTTTTTATTTGTTAATTTAAGGCAATCCAGCCTATTTTAAGAGCAAGCATGTCCATTGCCCATCCCAGGTATACATGCACTCAGTTACGTTACCCGTTGAAGCATTGCATGTTAAAAAAAATCACTTACCTTTTTAGATGATTCAGTTCTCAGCTGAAGGAGTGTCGCAGATCTCTTAACAGGTAGTGGTCCCGCTCTGTTTTTAGCTTTCTTCTGTGATGCATACTTTGCATAGTCTTGTGTTTCAGATCCAAACGAAGTATACGTATTTTTGATTGTGATACCAGTTACTAATATCTTAGCACCGGAGTTCTATAGCCTTGTTAGCACCGGTCGCGTGTGTTTGGGAGCGTTTGTAATTGTGATTTACGTGCTCTCTGAGTAAGACCTGGCCTTTACCTATGAGTCATTAAAGGAAAAATATTTAGAGCGTTTTTGTTTGCAACAATATTTGTTTGCAAGTCTTCTTAAAACACTGTTTTCTGGCGGCTGCTCCGCAGACGGTTGCACCTCAAATAAAAAAGTGAGCCCAGCTGATGGGCCAACATTTTTAGAGGTTGACGTTGTATTTACGCCATTTCTAGTGATCAATTAGTGCTCGATCAATTCACTTCGCATGTATGAGAAAGGTTTGTGCAAAAGTGACTTGCAGACTGAGCTACTATAACCTAATTGCAACAATTAATAATGTCAATTAATATCAATTGATATCTATCAATTAATAATGGTCTCAGCTCATCGCCTGCCTACTATCCCCAATTTGAGAGGTTTTGACTCTGACTCGGAATAATGCCGCCTCCTGAATGGTGTGTTATTTATCCGTGACAGATTGGATAATGATCTAAGGAACAAACCAATTAAACAAATTACTTATCTTCAAAAGCACACAAAGCTTTCGGTTCAAAGAACCTTGATCTGTGTGCAGTGCGATCACTGAACTTGACCTGGTATAGTGACATTAATTTGTGTAATTGGTTTATTATTGATAGCATTATCCCATGGTGTGTTATATTGTGTCTCGTGTTTTTCTCGGCTCTGAAGTACGCTGCATCATTTCTCAGCGCCATCTTCTTTGCTGGCACCTTTTAGTCGCTAGTTCAGTGGAGTCATGTGAAGTAACGTGCAGATCCTATTCTTTCACGTGCAAGCCTAGGTTATTGGTTGCAACCGCTTTCGAATCGTGGCATTTCTGTGGGAGAGTCTGAGTGGCTCGATATGTGCGATCAGAAAATAAACAGTCGTAAGACCCGTCACATTTTATTTTATCACGCAATCATAGCACCATCGATACCATAGCAAAACAAGCAAATGCGCTAAAGCCACCAGCGAGAAACAAATTAAGGTACGTACTTGTAGTCCACGACTCAAACAGGAATGCCGCGATTCGTAAAGCTCATAGAGCATATTCGTAAATGCAACATCTACATCCGCCCATTTTAGATCTTCCGATCAAACAACAAGCAACAAAACAAACCAATCGCGACCCTACAGCTACCTAGGTTATTGGTCACATCAGTCGCAAATGTAGCCCATGGCTAATAATGACAAAAAAAGATCAAAAGCGTAGCTGCAACCCGTTAAAGGCACCCAAGCATTCACAGCCTAATGACTATGAGCCAACAGTGGCAGGTCTATATGGTAGGGTGTCTCCAGCTCCAATTCGTACTTCATCCCGGAGGCGTCGCGTAGGATGTGTGTCCAGAACGTCAGGCCGTACTCCTGGTGTTTCACGGTGACCCCGGCCTGCAGGTCCGTCTTGTTGGGTACACTGCCGTTCGTCAGCTGCAGCGACGCCTCAGACCGCTTGGTCTGCGGCGACTCGAAGGCGACTCGGATCACTCTGCTGAAAGGCGAGTCCACCGACGTGTAGGCGACAGCAATGCTGAAGCGCTTCCACTTTTCGATTGGAGTCTGCACGTCAACGGTCAGCTGCATGTTGTTGAGCGCGGTCGCCTTGACCGTGATCTCGCCGCCGGCAGACAAGCCATTGGCGACTGAAGTCACCAGACCGTGAACCGAATAGTGGCGAGCGTCACGATCGATCTTGGCGCCGCCTTCTACGCGGTAGCTGTTGCCCGACGGCCCCTCAATGAGGAGGTCGACGGCGTAGGGCCGAGCGTTGCCGGTGACGTGCACCGTTACGCCGTTGCGTTGATAGTGAGCCAGGAGGTCGACGCTGCGATCGCGGTTCAGTGTGCCGCGTACCTCGAGTTCGAGCGTCTTGAGCGCGGCGTAAGGCGTGATAACGCTGATCTCGGCCCCGTACTGGCCGGCCTCTCCAGCGAACCAGGACACGTCCGCGGCCAGCTTCCTCGGACCGGCCTGCACACTCAGCTCCGCCCGGTTGCTGTGCAGCGAGACGTCGCTGTTGAGCACGATCTTCTTGTAAGCACCCTTCAGTGGAGTGGTCAGCACTGCGTTGGCAGTGCGACGACCGTGATCGTCGCGGTCCACGTTGTAGGTAAGGCCCACCTTTTTGCCATTTCGGATTCCCTCGAACTTCCCTGCCAGCGACTGTTTCGGGGTACCCAGGTTGTTGATATTGACATTGGCAGTAAACGATAGTTCAACCGGCCTTGTGATTAGCGAGCTGACAGTAATGCTGGTCTGAGAGCTGACCGTTTTCAGCTTGCCCTTTGCCTTCTTTGTTGACACCGTCGATGTGGCGTCCAGTCGGAAGTGCTTGCCTCCCCGCGAGTAGTCTACATTCAGTCCGTATTGTTTTCCCGGTGTGTACTGATAGCCGCCACTGAGGCTGACGTCTTCAAATCCAGCAATCGGGGTTGTGAGCCTGAAGGTACTGCTACCTGATCCCTGGCCTCTTGTTATATCTCCGATGATTTGGGCAGTTTTTCTGCCTCGCTTGTATTCAATATTAACTGTAGATTTTCCAGATGATCTTTGAACCGTGGCTTTGACGTCTACTTCACCCAGATCTAATGCAGTGGTATCCAGGCCTATCTGGAACACGGACCCAGCACTTGTCTTTGTTCTCTGATATTTCACGCCCAGACGGTGCCTGTCGATTCTTGGTGACAAATCATTGTTATCGTTTAGCTCCAGAAGTGTTGTGACGGTTGTTTCCGCCTGTGATTTCTTGAATGCAAGTTCAGCTTTTCCTTCAACTGGCTTATCTACTCTCACTTTCACATTCACTCCATCATTGAAATCATATGAAACTTCTGCCAGTGCATCACTGATCGTACTTCGTCTAGATACCTTGATGCCTGGGAAAGACACTTCAAGAACGTAATTGCCAGCCTTCTCGCGTCGAGAACCGGTCAATTTGGAAATATAAGTTCTTCCATCTACAGAAAGCTCAGACTGGATCCTTCGATTAGGCTGAACGAAGCTCCAGTTCGTAGTGAACCTTACATCTTTGTTTCCCGTTCGTCCTCCAGAAGGCTTATCCACTTGAACCTCGACCGTTCCTGATTTGGCATAATTGCCTAGGTTGACATTGACTGTGATAGATACTTGCTCTGGGCCACTGCCATATGTGATGGTAAGAGTTCTTTCGCCTTGGATTTCGCCCACCTCTGTGGATGATGATCCGACAATCCGCAACGCTTTGATCCTCTGGCCGTCAAACGATATGTTGAGCTTCCGCATGCCTCTTTGCTTCTCCCTGTTGACGACTAGTTTGTATGGCTTACCATCTACGGTGATTGTTGCCGTTGCGTCGATCTCGGGGAAGTTGGTCAGATTTACCGAAGCGTCGAGTTCGATGTTCCTCGTGTACGGTTGCGAAGTGACCGAAAAGCTGGCCTTTACGTTCCGGTGATATGCGGAGCTAACCTCATCTGTAGAGAATCCAAACTTGCCGTTGACGTTGGGCGAGTTGTAAGTAGCGTCGACAGAGAGGCTTGTCAGACGGTCCTGGCGGCGCTGCACGCTGTACGACCAATCGAGTTCGCGCTTCCCAAATGTGGAAGACTCGACTTTAAGAGAGCCGCTTCGCCCGTCTCGTCCTTTGGTCATCTTGTGGGCGATGGATAGTGACCGGCCGTCAGCCAGGGTTGCAGTGGCAGTAACATCTTCACTGGAGTCTGTGATGTAAGCGTTGTAGACAATGTCAATTGAAGGCATTTGACGCAGTGACGTGGTGAGTTTGATGTTTCCAGATGGTCTTCCCAGAGACGCCGTCAGTGTCATGTACTTGTTTCCTGCCGTAATACCAGCGTTCACTGTGCGTGGCGTGACGCTATGATCGTAGCCGACATTGGCGCTCAGTTGACCGATTTCTAGAGGCGTGTTCACATTCACCTTCAAGGAGACTTTCTTACCTCCAGGACCTGTCATGCTTCCCTCTCCAGATATTGCAAACTTTCTGTTGTTTCGTTCATAGGAAGCGCGATATGACATTGCTGCAAAGTTACTGATGTCGAAAGCCCGATGCACCTTGAGTGATCGAATAGACTCAATTGGAGAAGAAAGAATCAGGGAAGTCTCATCTGTGGCTTCAGTCCATGTCCTTGATGTCTCGATGCTCCATGCTCTGGAATTACGCATTGCATTGAATTTCATGTTTCTTTCATTCTTGCGATTGTTGTAGGTTAACGACATTCGCATATCTTCGAACCCTTCATACGGCGTGGAGATTTCAATATTGCCTTCTCCGGATTTCATGGAAAATATGTAAGCGTACTTGACGGCAATTTCACGATTTTCACGTTTCAGTGACATTTCCGCCGATACCTTCCCGTCAGCTTGGGTTGCTCTATTAGCACTTGCTCTAATCCTCTGAAATCCCTTGAAAGGGGTTTTGAGGCTGATGTCGATACCGCCATTCGTGAACGTAAGGTCCCCGTTTATTTTCTTTTTCTTTCCACCAGCGGCATACGTTAACAGCAGTCTGTTTTTCTTTCCTGTTATCACTTTTATTCTTGCATTCACTTTTTCAAAGCCTTTGATCGGAAGCTTCGACACCAGCTTCCCAACGCCTCCCTTTTTGCTCAGCGCGTAAAATCCTGACAGTTCGATTTTCTGCTTCTTCGACCTCGACGTAAGCCTAAACGCCTTTTTGCGCTTCGCCAAGTTGACACTTCCAGAAAGGCCCACATCTTCAAAGTCCTCCCAATCAGATTTGAAGCTCAGCTCAATACCCATGGTTGTCTTCACCAGGGAAGTGCGCAGTTCTCCGGAACTTCGTTTTCCGTCTGTATTCATTTCCAAGTAGATCCCGATGCCATCAGAGAACGATTGTTTTCTCAAGTCTATCTCAACCGCGTGCAACCCGTGAATGGGTGTGTTCAGCCTTAATTTGATGTTCTCCTTGCCGTCTCTTTCATACAGCACGTACAGCCGATGCCGGTCTTCATTGATGTGGGCATCGTATCCTATTTCGCGCTTCACTCGGTTATTCACGTATTTACCGCCGACTCCTAAGGATTCGAAGCCTTGGAATGGGGTCACGGCGTTTAATGACACTGTGCTTCCGTCGTATGTTCCTCGAATAGCAAACGTTTGTTTCCGGCCGTTTCTTTCGGAGCTGATTTCCATGTGTTTCTCAGCGTTCTTGATGTTATACGCGGCCGAATAATTGGCAGATTGCCAGGTTTTGAACGGCGTGAGGATAGCTACATATCCGTTGGCGGAACCACTCTCCACAGATCCACTCGTAGACACCGTAAAGTGGTCTTCGTTTTTCGATATGGTAATTGAGGCAGTTTTTGTAGCGCTTTCAATGTCATAGGTTGCGTTTATACCAATTGTTTGCATCCACTGAATCGGTGTGCTCATTTGAATGGTAATTGAAGACGAAGGCCACCCAAGCTGACCGTGAACATCAGCTCTCACCTGGTTTTGGCCGTGCTCAATGACGAGCTGTGCCTGGTATCGAGTTTGTCTGGTGTGTATGACGCTTGCAACGCTTTTCACGGTTATTTCTTCAAGGCCAACAAACGGGGTGCTAAGAGAGGCATCCAGCGTGACTTCTCTGCATGGCTTATGCATAGGATCTCTTGGATCAGACACAAGCGAAGTCCTCCGGCACCGCTCTCGTTCAGCAATGCTCAGTTTTGCGTCGCCGACAATGGTTTTCTTCGTTGAATCCTTCTCTGCCACCAGCTTGAAGTAAGGAGAGTTATTTCGCAGCCGATATTCACCAGAGAGAAGGACGTGGCGATTGGCTGTAAAAGGAGTATTTATTTCAAACACTGCCTTTCCCTCCCCTTCTTTCACGTTGATTGCGAGATCCGCTTCAATGGCTTGGTTGTTTTTGACGAGCTCAAATGATAGTTTTGGACCATTTGGAAGTGACGTGGACCTGCTAGCGACAGAAAGTGTTTCATAGTCGACAAAGGGAGATTCAACCTTGATCGTCAAATAGCTGGATGTCGATGCAAGCTGCGCCCTCCCCTCAACAGAAAAAGTGTTCCCGTTATCTCGCAGTTGCATGTCGAGGCGTTTCTCGGAGCCCTGGATGTCATACGTGGCGGTCACGGTTGTGTCCCTTGCTCCGAACACGAGTCCGCTGTTGTGATAATTTGCCCGAAATGATGAAGAAGCTATTGTGATGTCAGCAGACGCTTCGAATTTCAATGTTCCTCGGAAGTTTCCAGTCTTTGAGATAAGCATTTTGATATGTGGTCTCGCCAAGTTGTACGAAAACTCGAGCGAGCCATCGCCAATGGCTTCAAAGGCTGTCTGGACCTTCAGATGAACACTAGATTTGGGGACCGAGAGCTCATATGAACCGGTTACAAGGGCTTTCCTCAAGCGATTTTGATGAAGTTGGATGGTGAATGGACTGTCTTCCTGTTTGACGAAGCTGAAAGTCAGAAGCTCAAAAGATTGGTAGGGTGTGGTAAGTTCTGCGGCATACTTCAGTGCGCCAGGCTTACTTTTATCAGACAAAACTGCTGTCGAAACTCTTTCTTCGTGAGAGAAGCGCAGCTGGATTTCCTTGGACGCTACAGTATATGTCAATGATTGCTGGGTGAAGCCTGGTAGCGGTGTTTTGATGATAACGCCACCGTCATTCATGCCGAAGCTGCTATTGAACGACACTTTTCTGCGGTTGTGGGACAGCTCCCAATTCAGCACAAATCTGTTGGAGAGAATACAGTTCATGTTCAGTGTCGCTGAACCGAGGAAATTTGAAGGAGTCGAGAGCTTAATCGAAGACGAAACCTCGAACGCTTCACGACGTAACTCAAAGTCCGCTGACAGGTCGTATTTGCTAGCTCCATGCATCAGTTTAGCGGCGACAAACTTCTTGTTGTCTCGGAAGTTGTGACTGACTTTCACCAAAATGACCTCTGTGAATGGTGACTCAATTGTAAGATGCGATTCAGCAGCCGAAGACAGGCGAGCAATGCTTCCATATATGTTGACAGTCTTACCGGGGGCATAAAGCACGGTAACTGAAGGCGACCATGCCTCCGGCTGCGAAGACACCGTGAGGGAGAGGTGCCGCTCAGGCTGCCCGAACCACTGCGTGGTTGCTGATGCTTTGTAGTCTCCGTCTCGAGAAACATCGTCCACTAGTTTTAGTTGAGCCGTTTTACCATCCCATATGGTCTTGAACGTTGCTTGTCTTGAGGAGCTATTCAGATCGAGACTGATGAATTGCTGGATTCGAGAAAACCACCCGGCATTGCTAACGACGCTGCGCTTGAATGTCCAGGATCTCCAGCCGAAGAACTGGCCCACGTCGTCGACGACAATATGTTTATCTTCCTTCTGAAGATCCAGGTGTGTGCTTATGTCCACTACGGCATCAGAAATGTTGAGCGTTCCTGTATGTGATATTGTCGCAGACTCCCAACCAAGGAATGGTGATGTCAGTTTCCCGGTTCCCTTTACCGAGTAGGATGAGCTGTTACCTGCGCGCTGCTCGATCGCCCAGACAGACGATAGTTCGATCTTTACTGACTGGTTGTCACGAGACACTTCCCAGTTATTCCAAACAGTTTTCTTCGCGACGTCAGCGTGAAAAGCATTCTTCAGAAAGTATCTGCGTTTAGGGTTCGGAAGCACCATGGTAAGGGCGTACTCTTTTCCTCTATCTTGGAATGATTTCGTAACACCACTGAGTTCGGACTTGTTCTCTTTCCAGGTGGTTGTGACGTTAAACCTTTTAGCATCGTCGGCGAGGTGGTAGCTCAGCGACGCACCAAAGGCAGGGCATTCAGAACATTTGAAGTCAAAGTCTCCAGCATATTGTCCCGAGTTGTCATAGACGCTATTGAGATGTGTTTTGAAGAGTTCTTCGGTCCTGTTTCTCATAACTCGAATCGAGCTCAGCAACTTTCCTCCATTTTTCATAAGATTCATTTGCGCTTCCAGGAGTTTCATATTTTTGAATGGTGTCTTGAAGGTGACCTGTGAGTCTATTTCCACATGTTCTGTAACGTTATACGTGCACTGGACATTCATGGAAAGCTGGTTGGTTTTGTCGCTAGTCCACTCGACTATCGTATCTGAAACTAGCCTCGCATCTCTCAGTGTCAGTCCAAAGCCCACTTTCCCATTGCTGACACGATCCACGGGCAGTGCGAAGTCGACAGCTGTGTTGATCTTGAAAACGTCTTGTTGGTGCACTTTTTCAAAAACTACACCAAGCGCAATCACCTCATCGTTCTTTGAGGCTGAGAAACGTCCAGTGATGTCGTTGGCTTCTTGAAGGTAAAAACAGATAAGTTGACTCCGCTCCCAGCCAGCGAACGGCGTTTTGAGGTTTAGCTCCACCATCAGGGTATTGCCCGCGTTTTGACGCAGCCCGTTGAAGTCCAAGACCAGTCGTCCGCCCAGCACCACTTCTCTGTCTTCCACGCGACCAGTCACCTGTGAAGAAAACGATCAGCCGTCAGGCAATTGCTTGAATGCAATACCAAAACGGCGTTTCGTTTGTGTCTTGTATTGAGAGGGCGATTAACTCCACAATACACTTGTCTCAGCACTGTTATCTAATGTCGGAAATAAGGAGATGGAATTTGTATAGACAGAAACACTGACGCAAGCAAATGAGTTAAGTGCTACACGCATAACGAAGCGATTTATTTGACATGAATGCTATGAATGGCTGCCAACCCGTCAGCTACAAAGCACTGTAATGTGTATTTGTGGCAGGGTAGGAAGTGGAAAGTAGGAAATCTCCATGAAAGATGAAAGATAGCGCTGTTTTGAGGCTCATGATTGAAAATATAAATGTGATTTAAAACATATGCCTCATGCTAAAGTTTATTTACAAAATGGTCAGAAGAATTAAACAATAGTTTCGCGCACAGTGCATCATCAGGTCTGGTGATGCGCTATGTGCGAAACTGTTGTTTAATTCTTTTGGCCATTTTGTAAATATACGTTAGCGTGAGGCTTAGGTTTTTAATCACATTTATAATATCCATGAAAGGGTACCAGCTCAAGAAAACCAAGAACCAAGGAATGGAGAAAGATGCCTCAAGTAACAAGAGCCCCAACAATTAGGAATTAAGCAATTTCTTAGCCAGGATTTGACTCATTCTGTATCATGGGGCCCCAATTCACCTCCCCATAGGCCAGAACGTCCCATCACTCAATGCGTCACCGCCACGGCACATGTTTTAAGTTGCAAACAATTTAAAGACCACCGACCCATGTTTCGCTAAACCTTTGACCTCGAGGAAAATTTCAAATGCCAATGCCGAACAGTTCAGCGCCCAGCCAGTGCATCAGTCATCGAATCTCACCTGAAAATTGAGAAGGCTTTTCTCGGTTGTAGTATCGGGCCTGTTGATGAACTGCAGCATCATTGATGAGTATCCGGGGAAGGGAGTCTCCACCTCAATGGTGGCTCCGAGTCGACCGGCTTCGTCGAAGCTCACAGTGCCTTTTGCCGAGATGATCTCTTCAGGAGACAGCTGGAGCACCGCCATCACGCCATTCGCCCTGAAACATACCGGTAGTTTGGTTGCAACAATACATGAACGTGCCTAAGGGGTTGTAATCATGGCTAAACTTGATAAGAAGCTATTGCTAAAAGCATGACCAATCACTTTCAAAAATATAAGAACTTTAAGGCAGCTAAGTAGGTACTGCCGAGTGCCGAAATATCAATCATATGCTACTTTAGGGTACCTCCTTCCGTTAATCAATGATGAACAAGATGCGGGTGCACTCTTAGAGACGATTTAGTTATCATTTCCCCAAAATGATCCTACAACACTTACCTCAGCTCGGCCAGAAGTTTGATGTCGTGTCCCGGATATTGAAGCCTGGTATCGACTTGGCGGTTTGTAAGTTTAAAGTCGGCGATGACTTTTTGCGAGTCGTCGACGTCCTTGTTCCAGAAGAGCTCAAAGTTTCCGGTGAACAGTGTCATGTCTTCATTCAGCAAGCTTTCCGGTCCCCGCCCTGACCACCGCAGGTCGTTCAGGGTGGCCGCGGCCATGATCCGCCTACCGACGTGGAGGTCGGCGGTGACCTTTGACCTGCCGCCGCCGCTCCTGGCCGTCAGGGTGACCGAGTACTGTCTCCCGGGCAGGTGGACGCGCAGCTCCACCGTCTGTAGGCCGACAAAGCGGTACTCGGCGCTGGCCAGGTAGGTGCGCGCTCCATGGCTCAGCTCGGCACTGGCCAGGTAGCGTCCCTGGGAGCTGAGCGCCAGCCGGCCGCCGAGGCGCGTGGTCGGGTAGGCCGGCAGGTGCAGGGTCACCTCAGCCGTGTGCTCGCCGGCAGAGAGCTCCACAAACCGGGACACCAGGCTGATGGTCTTGTTGACGGCCGCGCTGGTACGCGAGGCGATAAACTGCGGAAATGTGGGCTTCGTTAATTTTGTGGCGAGGGGTGGACTCAATATAAAAAAATAAGCAACAATAGCTCCTCGAAAGGATATATCACATAAATATGGTCTAGAATATGACGACATTATGCCATTTGAGGTAAACATTCAGTTTGTCCCTGTTTGAGTCACAAGCATATTCTTTGACTCCACTTGACACGACAAATGCATATGCACGAACATACTGACAGACATACAAACAGACTGACTGACAGACAGAACAGACCATTGACCTATTAAGATACAGTATAGGTCAATGGAACAGACACAGCCCGAACACATTTTTCACCACAAGTTTAATTTTAGCCACGGGCCTTCGATGTTTATCTACTGTCTAAACGAGTGGTTCGTCCAGAGCAAAACAATGTTTAATGCGGAACAAATATTTATAGCATGAATGCATTTCGATTATTAAATCGTCATCGTCATGATCATCATGCTGATGACGATTTAGTAATCGAAACGCGTTCATGCTACCTATATTTTTCCGTGTTTTACTACATGTCTCCATCAATACCTATACAAAGCAATGTTGACTTGCCTTCAAGTAATAGCTGCTGGTATAATCATTGCGTGAATATTCCACACTACGCTGGAAGCCGGCGCTCAGAGAATAGCTGGAGTTCATTAGTGTGGCAAATGCGTTGATGCCGTAATCCAGGTCATACGACTCTGACAAGTAGTCAACAACCAGTCCACCTTGGGCAGATTTATCTTCTTGCAGCTGGGCCAAGGCAGTCATCTCTAGTCTTCCTTTTTTGCTTGTCTGTAAAATAAACGTAAGATACAATGTTTTGTGTTCTTTTGCGAAATTAAAAATGCGTGGGTAGTAAATTCTAGGAAACGCAACAATATAGGTATGTTACATCACAAACAAAACCTTACTTATTCTACTCAAGTAAAAACATCAGATTGTATTGATTTGTAAGAATATTGAAACATCAAATTGTATTGAAGCTTTCTTGCATAATCAACAAATAAAACGCGTTAAATATATACCTACAGTGATATCACCATATTCACACTGCATCCCTAATGCCCGTGCGCTCAGCCCCCGTTCACGAGCTCCAGAATTCCTTTACCGTGACGTCACCACGGCGGCAGAATCTCCATTACCCATAGGCATGCATGCAAATTTCATCATTTTTCGGGCGAGTTGGAGAAAAGATCAAGGCTTATATGTCATCAAAAGATGTACCAATGTAACAATGAATTCGCCTCATTACGATAAATGGGACTGAAACTAAAAAAGTAGGACCATATCGAGCCAAAAGCTGCAACTCAAATGACCCATTCATTTGAATGTGAAGGATTTCCTCTGATTACGTCACCACGGCGCCTTTATTTCCCTAGTGAACCAACCTGAGTAGTAAAGGAATCTTGCGTGCGCTAGCCAATCCTGGCAACTCACATCGAATTTCAGGGCCACTTTGAAGTCGACGTCCAGGTGTTCTGCCCTGAAGCCGACCTGGCCGGTGCGCCTGCCGTTTCGGTCGGACAGCTCCCCACTAAGTTGGTAGTCATGCTGGTCGTGATGCAGCCCCAGAAGTCCTTCCAGTCCGTACTTTGTCCGGCTCAGGTACAGCGTGACGTCCGAGTCCAATACCGGGAGCGCAGAAAACTGGCCGGGAGGGGTGACAATGGTGATTGATGATGATGGTTGTGATGTTGATGGTGATGATCGTGATGATGGTAATGGTGGATCAGTGACTTCGATAGGGTACACCAGCAATGACTTCAGTTTCTGTGATTATTTTTGTTGCAAGGATAAAAGAGGATTTTCAATTCAACATAATCAGAAAAGCAAATGTTTTGGATGTTTTCAAGCGTGAAAACCGTTTTACAAAAAGTAAATGCCAAAACACAGTGATGCTTTATACAGGGTAGTGTACGTGTATTTGAAAACATACAGCAACTTCTCTTCAAATAATTAATTCCTCCTATCATTTGTATCATCAAAATGACACCCATTACCTGAACCCAAGGTGAAAAGTAGACATACTAACCTTTGTAGTCATGGTAGCATTGTAAACAGATCCAAATCCATCCACTTGCTGCCACATTTTGGTGTTGACCGTGATGGTATGCTGTGGACCGTCGAAAATTGTGTACTTGGTGTTGGTTCTGAATTCCAACTCATTGCCCACGTATCGGAAGGCTCCAATCAGCGAGCCCTTTAGCATGTAGGAGTCCATTGACGTCGCAAGCATGTAGGTTCCGTCCGTCTCGTCGACAGTTCCTGTGAAATGGTGAGAAGTCGCCAGAGGTAAGATTCTTTCACAGTTCGTGGACTTCTAACTCGACTGCCAAGTCCTCTACTGAATATCATTTTGAAATTTGTTGCAATGCATGGTCACAAGTACATAATTATCTAACAAAAGACAAGTGTAAGAAGACAAAACATTTCTTTTGGTGCAATGAAGCTATAATGCATACATCGCCAATTCATGTTTCACACTAGTCCCCATTCTATTCCCAAGATAAGTTTTATTTGATAAAGGAAGCCTCGCAGCTTACCACTAGCTCAATTGCACCCTATGCTTTGATCCTACCCTTTCAGAAAGTTACAACCCACTCAACCCAGGCTAATGTTGAGTGCTTATTTCCCATTATAAACAATACCTACTCACCACTCAGCATGACTGGAGTCTCGAACAGATCTGAGATGACCAGGTCGATGGCGTACTTGTGCTTGTCCTTGTTCATGTTCAGATTTCCGCTGAGACTGAAGACGGGTCCGGACGGGCCGCGGATGGCCAGCTGCGGACGGTAGCGCAGCGCCGCCGCGTACTCGTCCTTCGTCAAGCTGCCCTTGATGTTGACCATCTCGCGGTCATCCAGCCGAATCAGGACGTTGGCGTGCTTCTCTGCGCCGGTGAGATGAAGACCGCCGCTGAGCTCCAGCGACTTGATCGGAGTGTTGAGGCTGATGTGGAAGGCCTTCTGAGGAGCGTCGATCATGTAGCGGAGACTCACGCGACGATTTTGACGTCCACCTGGTGTGTCGAATGTTAGAGAGGACTGTCGCACGTCGTTCTGCTTACTGTGGGTGTACTCCAGTGTAAACGCCTCGATGGAGCGGTCGGTTTTCTCCATTGATAAACTCGCTTTGACGGGTGACATCAATAGGAGCAATGGCCTGTTGTGAGTTGTCTCTTGAGATGAGAGATAGCTCATTTCGAAACAGGCTTTGACGCCGAGTGGAGATCCAATATATGTGTCTGTACAGGCACCATACTCGTTCAGTTCAAAGCTATTTAGTTTATTGGTCAGTAACGCTTCTTCGTTGCGATACACACGGTGAAATTCAGTTTCCACGTCGAAAATCTCAACTTTGTCCCTCGGCATATTCAACTTCACGGATGCTACCTTGCCGGAATCGATTACCAAGTGACCATCCAGGACCGTCGATGTATGCATGTTCGCCCTCATTTTCAGTCCTGTCCTGGCGACGTGTGCATCCACGCCCATGCCACTCACGATCTCCACAGCCGCCGAGGGCTTGACATAGCCCTCCACGTTTATCTTGTTCCATCCCTCAAAGTTGAACGAACCTCCCGTTTTCACCATTACCGATGCCGAGCCGATAGCGTGTAAAGTGAGTGGGAACCCGACCAAAGTGGGAATGGTATAGCTGGAATCTAGGAATTGGTAGTTTTCAGACCAATCTCTTTCTTGACCAAGCTCCTTGAAAAAGCTGAGTGGATCGTCTCCTTTTAGTGAGCGAATGAGGTCTGCCATGTTGTCATAATTCGCAAAGTGCAGCTCGTTGCCGAACATTTTCGCATACGTAGATGCTCTGAAGGTGTCAGCATTCGGATTTGCTTGGTTGTAAGCACTTGAGAGTCTGTTGATATCGCTGGCGCTATCGCTTCCTGTAATGGTGTTTATAACTTTTTGCAGCGCTGCATGAGGATATGAACCATCTTTGGCAAAGAGCCTCTCGATGTGTTGCTCCAAACCCTCAACGCGAGCTCCGACTTCCACTAGGTTGATGGAATCCCCAAACAGATCTACTGTCAGATTCAACATGCCAGATCTTGGAATGTAGGAGTCAGGAGAAAAGATGACGTTACCTTCTACAGTGCCGCCAGCATTGAGGGACTCGAAGAACAGCGTTTTCTCGTAATAGCGCGAGAACTTCCTCGCGTCGGTGTTGAACTTCTTTGCGAGATCCGCATTGTAGAGAAGTGACTTGATGTAGCCCTTTCCTGGATCGTTACTTTCTTGCAAGTTGGTGATGTGAGTCCAAATGAAACTGCCTACCTGATTCAATGTTTCCTTCTGCAAGAGCTCGAGTAGCTTGTCAACAACTTCTTGATTGGGACATTGTGTGATAGCCAGGTATGCGGCGATGCGAACCTCGGTGTTTTCCCTTTGGTTGGCAAGTGTACTCATCAGCTCACTTCCTGCAATCTCTTCACAGCTCATCCTCCGGTATGCTCTGATGGCTGCAAGGCGCACCTCAACATCAGCACTGTTCTGGTAGCATGATCTCAAAACGGCACTCCCTTTAACCATCAGGCCCGCATTGCCAAGCGCCTTCAGAGCCGCAAGAACCTTCACGCGAGCCTCCGGGGTATCAGCACTGCAGTCGTTTCCCAAAAGATTCTCGATATTTTCAACCACCTGAGCCACAGCTTGATGCCGCTTACAGTCTTCGTCTCGTTTGCAGAGGTGGTGCACCAGCGCTGTGACACCGAGAAGTGTTTGTGTGCGGACATCTCTGGAGGCTACAAGAGGTTCCAGCGCCTCTACCATATCCAGGCGAGGCTCCTGCACAAGTGCAAGCGAGGTCATCCAGCGATCCGACTGCTCGCTGGTGACGCTCCCCTCCAGTATCATGGTCCTCATCACCTCCATTCCCGCCGCGGTGCCCAGCATCGGTAGTGCGTTCAGCATGAACGCACGCTGTCTCCCCGTTCTGTCAGTCATAAGCGCAAAGAGGTTGTCTGCGTCCACCTGCCGTAGGGTCGCCACCAGCTGGGCGAAGAGTCGGGGCATTTCGGGTCGCACGTCTTCGGTCGCCACCCGGTCCAACTCTGCCACCAGACGCTGGGCATCACCGACACGATCCTGAGCAGTCAGAGTCGGCGAGGAGTGGTCGAACATGATGTTCCCGCGCGATGTCAGCGCTCCTGGAAAAAAAGAGATTATTACCGAACGTAAGGAGCAGCTAGCATAGTCAGAGAGCATCACGTACTTGTCTTCATCCTCACTACAGGCGTGCAAAGGTAAGGCAAGTGCTTGTATTTCAGAGTCTACACTAGAAGTTATTTTGTAGGACATTTCGGTGAAATCCTCACCTTCCCCTCGGGAACTTTGTGTCGGCATCACGTGGGTCTCGACAAGACTCAGCGAGACGAGTGAGCGGGCGCCTCCCGAGTTTCTGGAGAACGGCTGGAACAGGTGGTCTTCAGTGCAGAAAACGGAACGGATCCTTCCATCTTGCACTGTTTGCCAGCACTGCTGTGTGCTCCTGTTGGACAGAACAGGAGCGATGAGAGAGGAAGACTTTTACGTCAAGCTGGTAAAGAAAGTTGCGCATTTTATGCTCTCAATATGTTGTTAGATCAGATAAACTTTACTCACCAAGTCTTGTGCGTTGTGTAATTACTGCGTACTGTCCTTGTAAAATTGTTTCTTTGAGGAATGTAGGTGCCACTGGGTGCCACCATCAAGCTCACAAGAGAAGTGTGGAAACTGTTGAAAAGGCTTTCCAACATGGTGTCCAATGTCCAGGGTTATTTACGAACTATTAACCACATAAGCTACGTTTTCACTACATAGTAACGCCCAAAGTCACTTTTCAAAGCGCTATTGATGCGTCACATTATTCATCGATCACTAAGGCAAGATGATCTTACTCGAGGAGAGGCAGCGATTGAACCTTTGAAGCCGAATGGTACGGCGTCGTCTGGAGTGAGGAGAGGAGGCGACCCCTCTCTCTACAGGTGCGCAGGTCTTTTGACTTCATGATCTTCGTAGTACCGTTGTCCTCGGATGGAAGCACAGTATAGTCGGTGGAGCAGTAGCCGGAAACGTCCATCTGTGGGGAATAGCCAACTATTAAGCTTAAGGAATGGGGCTAAGATTTGCTATGTCTATTGATGACTTTTATCCAGTCCTCAGACTTCTGGGTTCCCCGAAAGATATTGCAAAGCGAGACTGAATAATACTGCGACTCAGCGTCCTTACCTCGTATTTTTCACTTTCATCCCTGTCGAATGATTCCATGTTGTTGACGATAGCAGAGAGGAGGCCTCGTTTGAAGTTGAGCGCCCACACCGATTCAGTCTGTGTGGCACACAACTCTTCGACTCGGCCATCCTGGTAGCTGGAGAAAAAAAACGTCGGTCATTACCGTCAGCTGCTGCAAAAAATAAATGTGGTCTCAGATTTACGTAGTCATGACTGATCTCAGCTCACATTCATTCAGCTAAGTTTCGATGCCCAAGGTTTTCATGACATCCATTGTTCTGTATGTTATAAGCTCCATATGAGCATGGTAAAGCTTTCTGGGGATCGCCCCGCTTACGGAAAAGCATGTCTGGCGAACAATACGCCTGCATCTGATGGGCTGCATGACTGGACAGGTGCCCGGCATGGAATCAGTGAGCGTGGGCCCATGTGAAGGACGCTCTCGGCGTACTAGCCTGTCGCGAACCGGCTGCAAAGCTGCATGATATCATAACGTTTCTGTCGCCACCGGACTCCCAGTGAAGACAGCCTCGTTGAGGGCATGCCAGAAGCCATCATTTAGCGTTAATCTTACGCCAACTATAATTAGTTATCAAATACACTCGGGATTATGATTCATGGCCAAAGGTGTTATGCTTCCTTGAGCAATGAATTCCATAACATCTACACCGTTAGTAAGAAGAACTGGCTAATAAAACAGTTTGGAAACCTAGCAACTAGCTGAAGCCAAACGAAGAGGCGCTTTTGTTGTACTGAGACAATAAAAACACTCAGTCCGTATTGAAATGAGGCTGGGTTGAGCCGGAGTCATATAACCTTGGTTGAGCCTAGGGGTGAGCCAGCAGTCCCTAGATGATGTCCACGTCACACATGATGACGCCTTAGTTATGGTTTAGCGCACAAACATGGGATATATATTTGTCTTTGGTCCAGATCTACACAATGCCATGCGGCATTTTTCTGCGAGCTGCGTGCTTGAAACTACTCATGCTTTGAGTCACCAGTTTCTCACGCTGTCACGTAATAATGCCCCCGTGAAGGTGTTAAGCAATCGGAGTCCATCTTAAGACCTCATCGTGTAGTTGAGACGATTGTACACACAGCTTTTATCCGTTTATAAGTAACTGAATGCATTGAATAAGAGGAAGGTCACCACAATAGAATATTTTACGGGCATGGCGTGTATTGAGGAAACTTCTTGTGTTTGCGGCTTTGATGCACCGTTCGTTTGTTTTCGGTCCACCGTGACAACAGCAGTGATGAAGTGTTACATAATGCTCGGGCAGCTAGCTGTAGTGTCCTCAGCGATGGCGTCGTCCAGTCACGTATTATATACTTGCTAAGGCGTAAAATAAATGAGAAAATGCACAGCAGGAGCTTTCAGTCTAATACAAATGGACAATTTACGGCCATGTTTTCATGCTAGCATTATCCAATAGACAAAGTTATAGAAATCAAGGCAACATTGTTTTACAAAAAAAAAAATTATAAAAACACAAACCTGCGTATAGATTATACTTAGAAACATAAGGACATATTGTCGATCAAATAAAAATAAAAATTAGAACGTTGGATGAATAAATGAGAGCTAGTAGGAATGAATAAAGTCGTTAGAATTTTCACCTTTACGTGCGGCTATGCCATAGCCAGGTACCTTTGCACACATCAGTCTCTCTGCCATTGTTTTTCAATGGCGAGGTCGAGCAGCTTTCGATCATTGGGCCTATGGGTTATGCCTGCTACTCCGGAGCTTACCTGAAGGAGAGGGGATGCCTCTCGAGCTCCCGTTTGAAGGTGTCCATCCCATCGACAGACGATCTTGTCTCGACGTCCCTAGGATCTGACTCCTTCAGGGTGACATCTCGGAGCTGAAAGGACAGAAATGCGGTGATGGTTTGTATGTAGAGGACAAAGCAAACGCCGACATGCTGGTCATTTCGGTGGTATTGTACTTTACACGATCTATTGAAAAACGTTGAAAAGTGTTTTGTCATTTACAGCGCTTTCCCTTACCACATCATCATTTTGTCCTTCCTCTATTAGTTCCTCATTTCATTTTCTTTCAGTCAACGCGAGTCTTTGCTAGCTTACAGTACGAATAACAATCGTCAACATCATCTATGCATGAAGAACGTCATTTTTTAACGGTTTCATTCCGGTCTAACCGAAACGGTACCTCCCCAATTTACTGCATTCTGGAGGAAAATGCGCTGCAAGAGCTGTCCATTCTTCGGACTAAGCATAGATTTCATAAATCTATGTTATATGTTATAAATATATAATTGTTATAAGAAGCATATGCCTCTAGCCCCTTTGCTTTCCACCACTAACCCAGAGTGTGAAGTCACAGGCGGAGTTGGCGACGATCTCGGCGCGCGCCGTGACCTCCAGACTGGAGACCTCGTCCGAGGCGGCCGGCAGGTCGGTGCGGATGGTACTGCGGAAGTTGTAGTGGTACGTCTGTCCGGGCGAGTAGGCGAACTTGCTGGACTGGGCCGTCAGACAGTAAGCCGCGCACCTGTGCTCGGTCCGCTGGCCGGACGGGCCTGCCGGTTTGGGAGGGAGAGACAGAGTCTGATCAGAGACCTGCGGGCTTCGGAAAGGCAGGTTAGAGACCTTTGAATGTGGCATTGTCACTATGCACCGCCTAAGTAACTGTCCAGACGCTCCTGAGGTGCTGTACTGCCGAGTGTCAGCTCGCACCCCACTGGGGTATTTTCTGCAACGCGCCTCACTGGGAGGGGGCTATTTATAGCCCCCCTCCCTAACTCCGAAACTGCTGGGCCGATTGTCAAAACTCAAACGGCTCGGATAGGCCTGAATTAACCCGCGCCCCGCTGGGGGGCGCAGAATCTGCCCCCTCCCGTTTTTCGACAATAACTTCTAAACGCGTTACGCCAGCGACGTCAAACTTTCAGCACCTTATTATACATCAATGTGACACGTTCTCTGAAAATTTGAGCGAAATAGGTCGGCAAATTTTTGAGAAATTGACGTTTTAGTGACGTTATGTTCGCCATTTTCGCCTCAAAAACGGCAAAATTTCAAACGCCGCTAACATCTTTATTTTCAAAGGAATCAAGACGTAACAAAAAGGTGATACGTGATTCTACTTTTTCTATCAAATAGCCATCTCGGTTTTTGAAAATTTTGGATTTTGGCCCAATTTTTTCTTAAAAAAACTGACTTTTGGGGGAAAATAATTATAAAATCCAAAATTTTGAGTGTATCGAAAAAACGGCACATATGTCAGAGAAGTGGTCTATGTGCACCTACATAGCCATTTTTAGAAGAATCGGTTCAAAAATGTGGGAGTTATATAAAATTTTATGATGTCACGACACACAAAATTTTTGAAAAAAAAAATGATTTTTTGGAAGTTCTAGACCTCGTACGGAAACAAAAATAGCACCATTTGATTCGCCGTGAAAAACTGCATCAGATAGACACCTTTTTAGGCCTTAACAACCAACTTCAAAATTTGACCTCACTTGACCTGACCTTGACCTGACCTCGACCTGAAATTCATCCAGAGGTGGTCCATATCACTTATTGAGTGTGCTTATTGAATTCTATGAGTAAAATGACCCATGAAGATTGTGTCGCACATGCCCTTTTCTATATTTTGTTTTTGGTGATCTGACCTGACCTGACCTGACCTTGACCTTGACCTTTGAATGACATTGTATGCAACGAATATTGTCTTGGTAGTCTAAGAACACGTTTTGGGCAATCAGCCTCAGTCCATTCTTCGGCAACTACGGTGCAAGGCCGATACTGTAGAAACTTGCATTTTGTACCCTTGACCTGACCTTGACCTGACCTCTGACCTACTTAAGCAAAAAACTTTGGGCTCTTAAGATCCGCCTTGTTGAGAGCTTTCGATTGCCGTTTTTCCCGTCTTTCTACGACCATTGGTTCGGAAGTTAGACAGGGGGGCAGAATCTGCCCCCCCCCCCTCCCAGCAGGGCGCGTATGGCAGAATAGCCCAGCGGGGCGCGGGTTAAATGTCGAGCGAACCTTAATTTTATGACCTCGAAGTCACCGATGATGTCACAGGCCAGGTCAAAATAAGAATTATCAACGTTTTAGCTTGCTAATTATTTGGACTGGCCGCCGGCGAAGAAGTCAGATCAGGCTCATTTTCGGTTTACACACTCGATAATATATGCCTATGTAAGTTACCCTGAGAGAACCGAACTTGTAATTTAGATTTTTCAGGTCAAGGCCATGTCATCCTAGGTCACGGAAATTTATATAATACATCAGTCATGTGACACATGCTTATGGTCCATTCAGGGCATAGATTTCGAAATCGGTGTCCTTTGTGTCATTTAAGGCTATTTTCGGCTGAATATAGTTGATGTCAATTCACTTTCAGGTCAAAAAGGTCAAATTTTAATGCTGAACTTTTCACTAAGATATGTATCTATCAGATGCAGTTTGAGCTCTGGAACATGACAATCCTATTTATTTCGGTGTGCAATGTCAAACACGTACCGTAAAATTGATTTGAAAGTTTGATAATGATGAGAATTTCTACTACAAAACGTATAACTTACATATCTTTGAAGATATCGGGCTAAAACGTCCTAGAGTATTTGATCGGCATGCTTTCTACCACATATTTCTTATTGTTTCAAAATTTCAAGAACTTACAGGAAAAAAATCAAAAACATAATTTTTGATTTTTGAATTTTTTCAACATATCAAAAATTTTGAAAATGCGAGATAACATTTAATAGCCCTGAGTATTTTGAGTCCTGTCATGCAAAGAAATTTGATCTAGCTTAAAAACTAAGCTCTTGAGAGGGATTTCCGTAGTTCAATGTTTCGCATCCAAATCGGTCGAACATGACGTCAACCTGACGTCATTTCCGGCTGATCTATGGTAGCTAAGAAATTTTTGTTTTAACACAAGATGGAAAATTGATGGCGCTGAAGGTACTTAAAGTTTGATGTTGATGCGTCCAGCGGTTAAAAAGACATTATAAAAAAACGACAGGGTGCTAAAAATAGCTCCCGTGGGGCGCTGATTTACGCGGCCCCATGTGTCCTCTCGCCATGCACGCGCCAGTGAGAGCGGACAGACTGAGCTACCACGAGTGCGGACTGAATCTGCCAAACGCAGTTTTGTTTACCGTGCGGCGAAATCTCTGAATGCTGCGACTCTGATGTATCTGGAGTTCACTTCAATTCAGTACGGCCATTTTCACTGTGTAACATATATCACCTTTTATCATACGACATGCATTGATGTGTTTCGTCATAACTTTTGTAATGACGAAGACGCCATATCATCCATGTCATGGAGGGTCACAGTATCTATCTGCAACGCATTTATGAGTTCATGGAAGTGAAAATCTTTATTAAGTGTATTGCTTTCACTTTTATTTGTCAACATCCATCAAAAATTAAAAGCTTTTGAAATGGATTTAGATGTTTGTATGACACGTTATCAGCCCCTGTCTGGTAGGTATTTTGTGCCCTGTTTAGTCCTTTTAAAATACATTTCTGAGCGTCCATTGCCTAATTTGACTTTCAGATGTCATTCTAGCTTACGATGCATTTTTCGTACATGTTTCGCAATTCGCATGCCTAAGTTCAGTACAAGGCCCCTTTTAGGGGTCCTTGTACTGCTCCAAAGGCCCCCAAGGCCCCCTTTTTGCCCCCCCCCCTCCCAGCGGGGCGCGGGTTAAAACCTGCGCCCCGCTGGGCGGCAAAATCTGCCCCCTCCCTTTTTCGCCAATAACTTCTAAAGTATTTACGCCAGCAACAACAAACTTTCAGTAGCTTATCATACATCAATTTAACACGTTTCCTGAAAATCTGAGCGAAATCCGTCGCAAATTTGTTGAGAAAATGACGTTTGAGTGACGTCATGTTACGCCATTTTCGCTTCAAAAACTGCAAAACTTCAAACGCCGCTAACATCTTCATTCTTAAAGCAATCAAGACATAACATAAAAGGTTACACGTGATACTAATTTGTCTATCAAATGGCTCTCTCGGATCTGTGAAAATTCTGGATTTTGGTCCATTTAAAAAAACTGATTTTTTGGGATAGGTAATCATAAAATTTAAAATTTTGAGCTTTTAAAAAGAAAAAAAACGGATTATGTGTTAGAGAAGTGGTCTATGTGCACCTACATATCAATTTTTAGAAAATTCGATTAAAAATTGTGGGAGTTATATAAGCTTGTATGACGTCACGACACACAAATCTTTCGAAAAATGATTTCTTTTGGAAGTTCTAAACCTCGTACGGAAACAAAATTAGCACCATTCGATTTGCCGTGAAAACCTGCATCAGATAGACACTTTTTACGTCTTAAAGGGACCCTCCCACCTTCAAAAAAGTTAATGAATTGGCATGAAAGTGATGTCGCTCGGTTCAGAAAGAGCAAAAACGAATATCTACCAAATTTCATCGAAAAATATTCACCGGTTTTCAAGATATTAGACTTTTACTTTTGTGTAATTTTTGGGATCTCCGCTTTTCCTAGCGACTTTATTTGAAAGTGCGGCATTTGTTGCGCGCTAAGCAGCATATACCACCGCGTGCTACAAAACGTTTTAGTCAAACATTTCAAAATCGTTAGATATCTGCGCTGACGTCACACATTCAGAGGGGTATTCCTATGCATTAGCCCCTCTGAATCAAAATGCTGCAATTTTGAAATTCAATATATCCGATTTAAGGCATTTCTCGATGTTGTAAGTGCCGAAACCGGTAATTGTGAGCCAGGGACCCCATTTTGGCTATCTCAACTCAAATCTAATGTTAAGGTGGGAGGGTCCCTTTAACAATCAACTTCAAAATTTGACCTCCCTCGACCTGATCTTGACCTGGCCTCGACCTGAAATTCATCCAGATGTGGTCCATATCACTACCTAATTGAGTGTGCCCATTGAATTTTATGAATAAAATGACACATAAAACATGTGTCACACACGTCCTTTTCTATTTTTTGTTTTTGGTGTCCTGACCTGACCTTGACCTTGACATTTGCATGACATTGTATGCAACGAATCTTGTCTTGGTAGCCTAAGAACACGTTTTAGGCAATCAGTCTCAGTCCATTCTTCGGAAACTACATACGGTGCCAGGCCGATACTGTAGAAACTTGCATTTTATACCCTTGACCTGACCTTGACCTGACCTCTGAGCAGCAAAAAAACGGCACTTAAGATCCGCCTCGTTGAGAGCCTTCGATTGCCGTTTTCCCCGTGTTAGCTCTCCGTGTTCCTGTTTTATGAGTCATGCGCTGATTTGTCAAAAATTGCCGAAATAGGCGAAATGTGACCTTCGATGACCTCTGACGACTTGACTACTGACCTGACCTAACCATTGACCGAAATACCTTGATCTCCGAACGCTGCTTCCCGCGTGTCGCCCGGAAGCTGAGTTAAAACTAAGCGGTGTTCGAACATCTCCCGTCACGGCGCGGTTGGCGCCGAGCACTGGACCCGGCACCAGCTAATAGCAAAACATAACTCATTTAACGTGCCCTATTAAGATAAAAAAGGAAGATGCTTGTCAACCTGCAATATAAAAGGTCTTCAAAATGAAAATTATCGGCACCGCTCAGCAGCTAAGCTGTTTAAGCGAAGTGCCCTGAACGTGGGTACCTACCGGTCATTTTACTAAGCTCTAGTCTAGTCAGTTAGCGATCGGATTTTGGACAATTTCGCTTGAATTTTTTACGATTATCGAAAATTGTAAGGGGCATCTCATATAGAAGACCAACTCACCAACAGGTAGGTGCACGTAGAGAAAAGTCAAAAACAGCTCGCTAGGTGTAAGAATGATGTTTGTACGAAAACAAATTTCACCGTGCATTGCTAGAATTTTACGTTTCATCGTGTCGGTTTTCAAAAGCAATGAAATGGAAAGTTTTGATATTTTTCCACTGGTCAGTTCTTGCGATGCCTTATGACTAAGATCACTCTGTTATATTTTTTCACTTGTATCGGCTACTGCACAGGTGGTGTGATCACTTTATCCCCACCGTCCTATTCATGCCGTTCTGCACCATGCCACTCCAATGCCTCCCACCGTTGACTCGACGTCTTCTGGGGACATCTCTAGCCTCCCCGTAAATCCTTAATCCTTACCTGCCAGTGCTCCCGCCGCGAGCAGCACAGCCACCACTGCGCAGTGCCGCATGGTGCTGCCCAGTGTCACGATTCACTCACGGCACCTGCGCTCAGCGGCGCCACCGATACCCGGCTGCTCCGCTCCCCAGAGGCGGCTCCGTTGCTCCGCACTGCTCTCCCGATCGGAGGGGTCGCTGCAGGTCCCTCAGCCACCCGAGCGCTCCCGCACCCCGTCTTGCCCGGCCGCAGCGGGCCGACTGACAACACCCAGCAGCCGACAACGTGTTTACCTCCAGTGCCAGAACCCAGGCGAAGTTCACAGCCGTCACGCGACAGTACGAGTTCCAGGCCCGAGCGAGACGGTAGCAGACGACGACTGGATGCTTCCTCGTAGTGTAAGCCCGGTATGAGTTCAGCTAGTGTTCTGCCTGTAATTCTTACAATGCAATGACATTATATTTGTTCTGTTCGTGACATGATAAATCATGATGAACATCGCTCTTTGCTAAGCGGCTCAGCACGTCTTTTTAAAGAAAAGCAAACAAAAGTAGGATTCGCAAAGGCATATACCTTCCCCAATGATGTCCTTCAGCGTGCAAGACGACATTGCAGCGCACTATAACCCAGTGTTCAGTGATTTCTTTCGACCAGCTGTCTGGTGCCCCATCGAACAATCCCTTCTGAGCTATCACGACAGAGTTAACCTATGGCCACTTCGAAACACCACACAAATTCAATTTTCCCAATCAATACAGTAAAGCTAGCTTATGTTTCCGTGCGTTGAGTTATATTGGCACGAACATCTACGAATACGTGTTAGCGGTAGTTCGATAAAAAAAGAGTCTTGGAGCCTAAATGCCACTGTTCCACTAACAGGCTGAAACACTGATGAAAATTTGAACTTGTAGTCACATGCATGGATCGAACATGAACATTGAGCAGCCATGGCGTGATAGCATTACAAGAACCTTCACGCTGAATCAATAAAATAGATGCTAAAACTATGTGTAATGAACCTATTACACGACACGCTACATTCTGTTCTTCAGGCCACACTGCATGCAAGGTTAAGTCCACGCGATAAAACATCGGTAAGAAAACAGTAAAATGACACATCACATAAAAACGCGCCACAAAAACACAACCACATGTCTAACAAACAAAGCGATTCAATCGGCTAATTCAATGGCGAAGCTAAGCAAGCAAATGACAAGAACTGCTTGGCTCGAATTCACTGCCACTGGCTAACGGAGGCGGTAGATGCTGCCGTTAAACTCCCAAGCAGATGTCATCGTTTCAAACTCTACGTCTCACTCAGTCTTGACCATCGCCGGACCTTCAGACGCTACCTGCTGCAGCCCAGCTCGATCGTCTACGCCAGACGGTCTACATCACACTATCTTCCCTCTCAGTCCTCCTCAGGCCTTCAGGAGAAGGGCCTTCAAGGGCGCCATCCATCTCTTTTCTCCTCGTCCGGACGTGAGGACGTCTCCCGTCAGAAGGACCTTCGGCGGCGCAGTCGGGAGGAGAGACGCCAAGGTGTCACTCCAGAGACGCCGTCTCGGTGTGTGGTCGTGGTGGGCGCCATCTTGGTATGACCCCAGTGGAACACCCACCTGTCCGCCTGCGACATCTGGTCCCAGTGGTGCATGACACGCGGACCGATAGCGCACAGCGACGTCAGAGGAAAGTGGCCCGTGGATCGGGCGTTGCGCGTGAAAAATATCGCCTGCCACGCCTCCAGACGCGACACGAGGTCCTCGAAGCAAATGACTGGCGAGTCATTGCGCTGCTCGAAGTCGGTCGAGCCGTGCCACTCGTTCGTGGCAGAGGTCAGGTGTCGGTGCACCCACAGGAGGTCGTTCCATTCGCTGGTACGATCTGCCGTCCACATCGCGCGCACAGGCTCCAAGGAGGTACATGCTTTGGACTCCTCCACTGCCGGTGTCGACTGCTTTGAAAACATCTCTGTTTCTGCGAGCGAGTTTGAACCTTTCGCCTCCCGTGACCGATGGTGACCTGCACCCTGTTGCGACCTCCTCCCAGTCTTCGGCCTCGCGCCTCCAGAAGCGAGGCTCAGCTCCGCCCGCACGTTGTGTCCGCTCACCACCCAGTCGTACATGAAGCCGAACAGGTGGTGCAGGATGTCCATCACGGCGTACTTGTTGGTCAGCGGAGTCTGCGTGGAGTGCGCGTGCGCGTGCCAGCCGTTGATGAACATCAGGAGCAGGAGGTGCATGAGCAGACACTGGTGCCACACGGCGTCACATCGGTAAGGTGCCCGCGGCCGGGGCTCGCAGGCGAAGAACGACGTCATGTGAGCGGCAAACAGCTCGTTATCCATCAGGTGGTGCTCCAGGGTGCCGAGCAGGTACGGCACGGCCTCCTCCTTGTCCTTCTCCCCGCTGATCGGTCGCCTCGTGTGCTCACCGGCGCCGATGTTGCAGATCAGGTGCTGCAAGAAGAAGGTCATCAGTCTGCAGCCGTGGAGAAATGAATTTGCGGACGCATAACTAAATTGCCTCATTTTTTAGTGATGTGGCTAAAACTATTATCAAAAGCTCTATGCCATCTCACATTTTGTGCGCAATATTCTGATTAATTGTGACAATTGGAAGCAAATTTAAAATCGTTTAACTATAATGATATAAATGGTTCGATAAAAATATATGACTGAAACAAATAAAATTATAAAATGGTCGCAAGCCTGAATCAATATTCAGCGACGTTAACTAGGAGCCAAACTCCACGCCACGTTTCTTTTAGCTCTCTTATTCAGTGGGTAGCGTTAGGTACTGACCGTTTGCAGGTGACGGCCTCCAGGCACGGGGTAGCCGATCCACACCTGCTCCTGATCACTCCTGGAGTAGTTCCTCAGGAGCACCACCTCCCGTATCCCGGGCAGCGGCTGCATGTAGACCCCCGAGAACGGCTCCTCCGGCACGGGGAAGCTGTGCTTCTCCGGATCGACCAGCCGGTAAACTTGAGGGCCCACGGAGCCAATGAAATATGCTCCTCGTGTCTGGAAACAGCGGTAAAAGTAGCTGATAATTAGGTAGCTACACCTTGAGAATATCTAAAATGATACGATTTATTATTAATTTCATTTTCAAAATGTGCTGCTTTCTTGATCCAAATCAACTCGTAATTCAAACACCAAACATTAAAAAATACGCGATTAATTCAAAATCCATAGATAATTCATAAATCCAACATGGCCTGAAATGTTAAAAGTTCATGTCTTAATTAAAACGACATACAAGATGCGACAACAATGAAGCGTTCATTTCTGAAATAATGATATAAGTGTTACATGAAGATCGGTAACAGCTAAAACGTTTTGTGGACGTATTTGCTCAACTTAAACGGGTGCTACCCTTTCCTACCCGTGTGCATGTGTGAAATGAGTAATGCTTAATTTACACGTTGAGATCATAAAAAGTAAAGAGCAAGCATGTTTAAAACCGGACGCGTACTTTCACCTGTTTATGAATGGCCTTGTATGACACGTCAGTGACGGAATCTAATGTTTCGCCGTCAGTGCATTTACATAGAGGGCACAAAATGAAACGAAGAACCTTAGCACGAACTGCGTCAGATCTCAGGCACGTTGCCGGTAACGTTTACAAGGGTTACTTGAGCAAAAATAAAATCCAAGCATCACGGCAACACAGCACGAAAGCGCTGCATGCACAGCGGACAACTCACGTGGAAGTACTCCGCCATGGTGAGGGTCGCTCCGCCCACCGCGACGAAGAACCTGCGCTTCATCGGCACGTCGGCCAGCAGGCGGTTCAGCAGCTCGGGGGACGGCGTGGGCACGTTGCCACTCATGTAGGTGTCGTCCACCGCCGTATGGGCGGTCATCCGGAGCACGCAGTAGCCCACCTTGAGCACTGTGACGAGCACGAAGGTGTTCAGACTGCCGTTCGAGATCGTCTCTCGCATTTTTCCCTCGGGAACTGTCGGATGTGGGCAGTAGCAGCCCAGTGGGTATGTCTGTAGAGTGTAGACCCACAGGCTCTTGGCCATGAGAGACGGCATGCATTGAAAGGCGGTCTGCGTGGCGCCATCGACAAACTCTTCGACGTCTTGGTCATCGTGCTTCAGACGAAAGGCGCGGGTCAGCTGAAGAAAACGCTTGGGTCCCATCAGCCGAGCCATGAGAGGGTTTCGAACCAGCAGCTCGTCTGTGATGACCTCCCTGTTGTAGGCTATAGACGTGGCGACCAGGTTGGCAAAGAAGAAGCGGAACATCTCCTTCCAGTTTGTGTCGCGCCAGCCGGCGAGCACTGCCTCAGAGGCGCCGCGACCACGAGCGAAGGCGTTGGTGGCTTCGGCGATCTGTTTGAAGATGTTGCTGTCCAACAGCAGCTTCAGCGACACCTGAATCGGGTTCTGGAAGCGCACGGTACGACTGATGGACTTGAAACCGACCCCGCCCGTGTGGTGGATGCCGATTGGAATCGGCTGGTCCGCACATCCATCTGATGGACTTCCTTTGGCTTCACCATTCTGCATGCCGCGGTGTCCATTAAGCTCACAACTGGAAAGCAGCACAGAAAAAGTGATCTTAGTGAAGTTATCCATGCATGGACAATTAAAACTAATCGGTTGTAGTTCCTTGACTCTGAAATATGTATATTGGCAGGAAATAAAACGCACTAACCAATAAACTGGTTTGTTTCGATTAACTACCCCAAGGTGGAAATCCTTCATTTTAATCAGCAAGCTGTTTCGTAATGCTCGGAGTAGAACAGTGAAGAGGTGGTTGACCTCCTACCTCTGACTACGTTGAAAACAGACCTCTTTTTACGAAGGCATAATTTTCATATTTTTACGACTTACCATGTATAGTTGAACATCCAGCTCTTCTCTCCGACGTAGACCACGTCCATCGTATCGTCACCATCCAGGTGATCGATCTCCGGCAGGGACGTCACCTTGTCTACCCGCGGCTCCTCCGGAGGTTTCTCGGCGAGCAGCAGCTTTGTCAGACTGTCAGCCGATCCCGCCAGCTCGGTCCAGTTGGCTAGTCCGGGCCGCGAGGCTGTCGGTCGATCCACAAACCAGTGCAGAGCCTGAGGACCCACCGGAGTCGGCGGCTTCACCGGCATCAGGAGGGACTCGTACGCCAGAGCGCCCAAGGTGGCCGCGCTGGGACCAGGTGGAGCGGATGCCATCGACTTGGCAGCTGACGCGAGATGGGTGAAGAGTGAGTTTGTGCTGTGACTCGCGGTCGTGGTGGAACACCGATGGTTCTTAGAAGGCGGGACTGAAAGCAGGAGTGGTACGGCATGTGGTTTGGGATCGGTCGAAGTTGAGGCAATCCCAGGGTTTGAAGCTGCTATTTGCGGCTTAGTCTTAGGTGCAGTAGATGTCTCGCTCTGTGGTGCAGGTTCCGGCTTATCCAGAGAGTCATCTTCCTGCGTGGGAGCCTCTGAGCCTGCGCAGGTCTCTGATGACACGGTGGTTGCCTCTGGCTTCACCGCGGCGCCCACTTGAAGGTGTTGTGGAAGCGTAGGTACCCTAAGGAGCTCGAGGGATACGATCAGCTCGTCCGGAACTTGTGGTGAAGCCGGATGACATGGGCACTCTCCGGATGTGCAGTTGGAGACGGAGACTGCTGGAGGATCTGGAAGTGGGTTCACCAAGGGAGTAGTGCTGGCAGGCGGGGAGAGTCTTCGAGATGCTCGTGCTTCTTTTCGTCGACGATGTATGGATTGCTGCCTGATCGCTTGGATCTGAAACGCATACATTTGCGGTCAGCATCACGAACACAAGAGTGGTTGAACTCCCAGATTTCATCGCAAGTCGTGGCGGTGGCGGCAATCTTATTGGTGGCTTAGCGGGCTAGAAAGGTTTTACTCTAGAAACACCTATAGAAATTAACTGCGCCCGCTCTAAGGTCAAAGGCAAAGGACTGCATGCTTGTGTTTTGAAATTTCAACCCAGGTAGAGCTTGCAAGATGTTTCCTGTCTTTTTTGTTTGTTTAAAAACTAACCCTAAATTTTTCGCGATCATGTTTTAGATCCTGCCCCGTTGCCCGAAACACTGACCTTTAATTGCCAATTTAATCATTTTTGATGGGAAGGCAAAGGCTTAGTCCTCGTCCCTAAGCGACAGTCAGTAGACTATTACGCAATACGCATTCTACACGTCCTCCTCCCTTTTTGTTGGTCTAGCGAGGGTGGTGAAGCACCACCCGTGTCCTGGAGCGGGTGCAGGTGCCGAGCACCGTCCCGGTGCGGGATAATAAAGGCGTCGCAAAATTGACCAGACATTAGATCACCAATTTAAAAGGCCGGGAACAGGGAAACTTTTAAACCAATCGTAACTGGAGATAGCCTGGTGTCCTGACCTTGAGCGACCTGGATTATTTGTTTTACCTACATCTGCAGAAAACAGTCACCATTTTTACTTAAATTGGTAGCGCTACGCCCCACCACTTTGGAAATATTTTTGCTTCCGTCCAATTTCTGCAATGGACGGTAATTATTGTCACAAAGTCGGTTCTAAGTAAAACCATGTTCAGCGATCCAAACGAAAGAGACAACTCAAAAGTGACGTAGAAAAATCAATGAGCAATTCGAGGACGATCGCGTTTATTTATTTTTGAGATATCATGAAAAGTGACGAAACCCTCCCCTCTCCCACTCAGTCAATGGCACTTTCAGCTGCAAAGCTTTACATATTGTCGTCTCTGACCTTAGCTTATCCGCTTTCATAAGCTGCAGTTCAATGCCCGGAAGATTATAGTTCGTTTTTTCTAAGTTCTACCCTCACTGTAAACGTCTCTTTGAACACAGCACGAAAATTGGTAGCTGAATTACTGAGAAAACTCGTTGGCGTTCAATGGTTTCGCAGACGATCAATTGTATCAAAATTATTTCTACCTGGCTGCTTTTTCCCAGACTCGCAGTTCGGTATTTGCAACCCCACAAGGATCGAGGACTTGTCAGGAACTGAACTAATAATAAATCGTACGGCGTTTAACGTAACAGTATATCTTGAATGAAAAGCAATATCAAATTATTATCTGTATTCAATGTAATACATTGAATGCAGATAAGAATTTGATATTGTTTTTCATTAAAGTGAACATTTGTCAAAATGAACAATATACAAGTATATCTTGAGTATATCATCGGTGTTAGAAACTTATTTTGAAAATATTTGTCCATATCTCCAATGCAAAGTGCGCTAACCAGTTTTCCCAGTAATTCAGCTAGCAATTCTCGTGCTGTTTCCAAAAAGATGTTTACAGTGAGGATCGAACTTAAAAAAAACGAACTATAGTGTAAACTAGGGTGACCCGCGTGCTCCGCAACGCGAAAAGGGATATTTTCGATCGGCGGGTGTTCGGTTGTTCTTGTGTCGGTTGGGTTATCTATCCATTTCGGTCGATTGTTTTTTGACGGCTAAACGTTTTGGTTTGTGGAAAAAATATCCACCGCATCGAGGTGCCCGTGTCTGATAAGCATGCTTTCCACTTCAGAATCTGTCAAATGTGCTTTATAATTGAGGTGCGTAGTTTTAAGACAAATGAAAGGCGTAGATAATTTTCGCTAAAAATCGTTTTGCAGAGGTTTAAAACATTTATATTTTTAAGAATACTGTTGCTTGTCATGCAAACGTGATGATTGGATCTTGGAGAGAATTGAATGCTCTTTCTAATGATAGCATTTTCAATTGTCAAGCGTATCAGGTTAAGCAGCAAATCCCGTGTATCTTTTTAGTGGCACATTATGGACAAATACCATTTTAATTCAGCGATTTTTTCCACATTGTTTTTGATCAATTAGCTGTCCACAATTTTTCCATGAGAGGCGGTACATTTCTCTTGGCAATTGACGTTGTTTCAACTCTCTCAGTCTGATGGTCACGGGAAAATAAAATAAAATCCAAAATCCGTTTAAAATGGCACTTTTTGAAATGAAATTGCCCTCACACTTGCACGTGGCGCGTGCCACCCCTGCACCGCACACTATTCGATTGCCCGTTCGATTCTCTACACGATGCTGTTTTCCCCGTGCCGATCGGGCGCACGGCTACCGAGATATTGCACGGGGAACGGACCCGTGTCGGGCAAATTTAGCCATTTTCGCCCGTTTTTGCCAGCCGATTTATACATGTCAAGTCTATGACGCGAATTTGCACTTTTTGGGCACGCGCCACGCGCTCGCTATCGATCCGATCGAGCCGAGACCGCTCAAAGGCACGTTGTCCATCCTTGTTCTATAACTTGCGCAAATTTCAGCGCGGTAGGTGCAACGGTGTGATCTGTAACCCGCGCTACGTAGCACCATGTCGCGACCTTCGTAATAGACAGAAACTACGCCCTCCTCAAATAGTAATATAGATAATACAAACATGGTGACAAGTTCACTAATATTTACAACGCTTGCTAATATTAACAACATTCACTAATATTTCCAAGAGTTACCAATGTAGACAAAATGCTCCTCAGGCAGGCACTTACCCTAGAAGATGACATTGCAGCCAGCGGCCATTGGCGCAGTCCGGCGCGTCCGCCCGCGACCGTCCGTCACTCGCGAATGAGCGACCCGCTGGCCTGACCTTGACCCCGCCCCAGGCAATGAGAGGGTAGGGAGGGTCACGGCCACGGGGGAAGGGGCGCCGCGGCGGCCGAGCAGCTGCGCCAGCCGGCCGGGTGAGAATGAGCGGAGGGAAAGAGAAGAAAGGAAGGAAGAAAGTGTAGTCAATGTGGAAATGGAGAAAAAGAAGGGAATGGTCAAAATAAAAAGGTGAAGAGGGAAATATGTTTGAAGTTTAGTGAGACAGATAAATATAATTTGCAACCATCTCAAAATGCTTTCTCTTATCCCCTCTCTCTCTCTCTTTCTCTTTCTCTCGCTCTCGCTCTCCCTCTCTCTTCGTAAGAATACATATGTATTTGCTTAAGAATATAGAGAGAAATAATTATTTTTTAGTCTTGCTTTCTGGTTAAAACGATCCATCCGCAACTAGTGCTATATATAAATAGGTACGTTCTGTTAGGCAATCCATTATGGTAATGAAATATGCAAATAATATATTTCAAGCTATGCAGGCGAAAAGCACCGCAAAATTCCAAAACAATCGTGTTATTAGTCCTCGAGTTATCGTCAATAGTCGGTAGCCGACTGGGAGTGTTGAACTGAACCCCTTCCCTCTTCCCCGTCAGTAGTAAATGGCGGCTATTGAAAATGACCTATTTTCGTTGCAATCCCTATAAATATATTTTTTTATTATACCCAAATGCGGCAGCAATTCGTCCTTTCCTTGTTTTCCCGTTTTGTAAGTACCGCCAAAATATCTTATCAGCCATCGTCGGCGAGATTACACGAGCCAATATATGTTCTGACAACCAGGCTCCCGCATGGAGCGTGCTCACTTCTTGAAGCTCAACGCAATCGATTTAAAATGGAATAGGGGCGCGCTTATCCGTGCAGAGACGATGGTAGTGAGCAAAAAGAGTGGATTTAATGATTTCGATCAGATCATTACGGATCACCCGTCAAGCTAGCAAAATATATTTCAAGGCTTTTTATATCACATCGCACATGTCCATAGCAAATAGCAATGTAAGAGCAAGAATTTTTATCCAGACCTGGAAACTACAGTAGCCGTATCTTTTCTCTTTTCGCATGGACGTAAAGAATGGAAGATAAAATCATTTCCGCTGAATGCTCGTTTGGTGAACTTTGCTTATTACGAAACGTAAAGCATGCATTGTAATCAAATGAAGTAAAACGGTCAAAACAAGTCGAACCTCATTTTCCTATCAAGCCACACAGGCTTCGCTAGCCTCATTCATTCAAAAATAAAAATGCAAACATAGCTGATGTTCTCCTTCAAATGTATGCAGCTCTTTGTTACACACAAAACACAGGGCATGCACAGTATGAGTACCGTATTTGCAGACATACTGTGCTTTTAAAAGATTGTCACATCGTAAACGAGCGAAATACGTGCATACGTTGCAATACGTGCGAAAAAAGTGCATCATTGAATACAATACTATCACATTGTCGGGACTTGTAAAAAATTGATACAAGGTTGAGGATATACTCCGCACAAAGCTATGCACAACATTTTGCGTACCGTGGTACAGATGCGAACATTTTCCAAAAATTGTACGCGTCACTTGTCTGCCACATTTGACAGCAAAGCTCCATTTTCCCGTGTACACCAGCAGTCAAACATACGCCACCTGATACAAGAGACACCAAATGACACGGGCCCTGCTGGAGCTCACAGAGACTTCCTTCGCCTGTGGTGACGCCACGGCCTGTCGTCACTGGCAGTGGCGGGCGCCAGCTTCAGACCGCCCCAGTAGAAGATCTCCTGCACGCCGCTCGGCCTTCGCACCGGCGGCCTCTTCCCCAACGCGACAGCATCCGGGGTGAGCAGCGGGTAGCTCTTCAGGTCATCGAGGACTGCGTGCTGCAGCGTCGGGGCAGCAGAGCCGTTCTGACCACCGCGCGACCACTCGGAACCGTGCCAGTCTCTGAGCGGCTCGCCGAGCTTCGGCCTCTGCAGTGGCTCCATCATCAGGAACCACTTCAGCACGATGGTCGACCACGTCACCGCCCGGCTTGATGTCTTCGGGACGAGGCCCAGATTGGGGGCGAGGTTGTTTGACCCAAACTCGGCACTCGAGTCCAGATGCATAGGAATCCTCAGGTCCTCTTCATGCACGATCATTTGCTCAAGACCGGCGTCGATGTCCAGCATGTCCTCGTTGAAGTCGTCCAGTGCTCGTTCCACACTGACCTCCATCGGCCTTCCGTAAACGATGCGGAACTTGAGCTTCCCCCTGACAAGCAGCAGCTCCCACTCCTCGACCATACCGTCGCAGGGTCGGAGCGGTGGCTCGCAGAGCAGATTGTGCCTGCTGATCACCCAGTCGTACATGAAGCCGAACAGGTGGTGGTAGATGTCGTCCGCCGCGTCGGCCCGGTACAGGGGGTTCTGACTCGCGATGGCGTGCGCGTACCAGCCGTTCATGAAGCCCATGTTTAGGAGGTGCATGGTGACGCGCTGATGCCACAGCATGCTGCCAGTGTTGGCGCCACTGACGTTCTCGAAGGAGATGTGCTGGAAGCCCGCTTCGTTGGCGAGAGACACGGCCTCCATTGCGCGCAGACTATGGGGCACGCTGACACCGATCTCGTCTTTCTTCGGACCAGGCACGTAGAGAGTGGAGTGCTCGCCACCGCCAATGTTACATAGCAGGTGCTGGAATGGTAACAAACGATATGAGCTGCAACGAACGCCTGTAACAACATTGATATCACATCGATAAGGTATGAGATGTAGGCGTTGCATCTTTTGTAAAAGCCATCTATGCTATGGGGTCTGACTTTCCAAGTGCCAGAGAAAATTTTCATAAGCGAGCATGTTGCAGATTGCAGTGCCTACCTGTCTACAAACACCTAAGCAATCAACATCATTTGTAATCATGCTGGAATCATGCATTTGCAATCATGCACTAGAAAATATCAACTAACACATCGTGTTTACCTGATCACACTCTTTTCTTCCGCACCACAAACATCAACCTGCGTCAAAAATCAAGCCTTGACCCAAGGCCTCTTACCACCTGCTGGAAGCCGCTTTTCTTCGAGACCGCGAAGCCGATCCACGTCAGTCTCGACGTCAGTCGCGTCACGTCGCGAAGAAGGATCACCTCTCGTATGCCAGGGTACGGCTCCAGATAGAGGCCGACACTCGGCAGCTCAGGTGTGGGGATGCTGGCCTTCTGTGGGTTCAGAAGGCGGTACGCCTGCCGGCCCACAGAGCCCACAAAGTACGCTCCACGCAGCTGAAAGACGAGCATTGCGTCACGGGTTACATACTAAAGGGCTCCGTTGTGTTGGCATGCTAGCAAAGGAAATGGTGATCCCATCAGCCTGGATATGTAGCTATCACCGCACGTTATGCCGTATGAAGGCACATAACTATGAGGCATTAGATCAAAAAGCGCTCTTGTAGCGCGACCAGGAAAATCAATGAACTTTTTAGGCTACTAAAAATCGTTACATTAGTGAAAGTTTGCATTCACTGGCTCACATGCCTTCACATAGGCATTGTTACGTCTAACTAATCTGGTTTATTATGATGATGCATCGACAAGTATCGGGGCAATGTTCAAGAAGGTGTCTCCCGACAGGTTCTGATCTACTCACATGGAAGAACTTTGCCATCTCCAGAGTGGCACCTCCGACGCAGGTGAAGTATTTGCCTCTGATGGTGATTCCCTCCAGCAGCCTCTCCAGCAGCGGGATGGAGATGGAGGGTCGGTTGCCGCTCTGCTCAGAGTCACTGGCCCTCCGATGGAAGATCACCCGAAGCACGTACCGACCCGCCTTCAGCACGGTGAGCCTGCACTCTGCGTCCAAGAACTCCTTGCTGTCGCTACACCAGAGTGGCAGCTGGTAGGTGTGGATGATCAGCACCGGCGTCACTCCGGACAGCAAGCGCTCAAAGTTAGCGCAAAGGGTCTTCGATGCAAAGTGGAGGAACTCGTCTGGAGTCTGGTCGTCTCGCTTCAGCCGCCAGGCGAGAGTCAGCTGATGAAAGCGCTTCGGGGTGAACATCTTCGCCAGCAAGGGGTTCCTGAACAGAGGCGCCTCGCGGAGGTTTTCTACCCTCCTCTTGATGGTGGCGATGAGGTGATTGGCGAAGAAGAAGCGGAACATCTCCCGCCAGCTGGTGTCACGCCAGCCGGCCAGCAGTGGGTCCGCGGCGCCGCGCCCGTACGCGAACACGTTGGTGGCGAAGGCGATCTTGTGGAACGTGAGTCTGTTGATCAGCATCAGCGACAGGTCCATGGGTGTCGGCACCCTGGCGGAGGGCCTCAGGAACTCCGGGCCCATGGCGTCGACGTCGAATATGTTGAACGGCAGCGGCCGGTCGGCCGGGCCGGGCTCGGGGGGTGAGGCACTCACCGGGCCCGTGAGTGCCGGTCCGTAGGTCATCAGGTCCATACTGGAACAGAAGGGAAACGCCGACGCATATCACAGAGAAGCTAACCATCATGGTGACAAAGCAGATAATCTTCGAAGGGTGATGCTGTTCGTGGACGAGTGGACAATGATTACCGAAGAAAAACTACTTTGAACATAGGTGTAATGAATCTCAACTGAGCACAGGTGTCGACTATGTGCTCTTATCAACAACAGCTTACTGTCATATAAACTCAATAATTAAAACTGCTTAGCTCACAGCAACATATCTAATTCCATCTGTCCAGTTCCATGACTCACTCACACTGACAGCGTCGCCGGCAGGCCCTGGCCGATGGAGAGCCACTTGATGGGATCATCGCCGTCCAGCGGGTTGAGACGACTCAGCGGGTAGGGCGGAGGAAGCAGGGACTCGGCCGCCCGTGGAAGGGCCAGTCTGAAGGCGTTCTCTGCGCCGGCCAGCGCCAGCTGTGACCAGTCGGCCAGGCCGGGCCGGGCCGAGCTCGGATGGTCCACACACCACTGTACGGGACGGCACACCGGCGGACGGCGGCCGGGGTTCGCCCGCGGCGGCGGAGGAGGCGGCGGAGACTGCCGCGCCGGCGGCGACGGGGGCGGTGTGGGCAGCGGGGATGGCGGAGGAGGCGAGGGCGGTGACGGCGGCCGGAAGGCGGCTGGGGAGACCGCCCGCGCAGCAGGCGCAGGCGGGGCAGGCAGGGGCTCCCTCAGCGGCGGCCCCCGCCGTCTCGGCTGCCGGTTTGAGTTGGCTTTCCTGCGGCGCTCCGGCTGAAAAAAAAAACAGATTTATCTGATATGCATCATGGGTATTTACCAATGAATTTTATCCTCCGCACTACCTATTCATCATCTGAGCTGATGGTACCTTAGCATGTCTGAAAAAGGTGGGTAATGCCTTTCATTCACAAACAAATACTGGAATATTATTTACAGCCAAAACTTGCAGTTCTACTCGTAAACGTTAGCCTTAAAAGTTCACATTAAGTCGCAAGCGCACTTTCGATACAGTTTTTCAGCCATTTTCTCTCACATCGATATATTTGTGTCACTTAAGGCCGCTAAAAAACAGTAAAGGAAAAATGAATGCATGGGATACCTATGTTTACTTGTCTTGTGTACCGTAAGGTGGGGCTATTTGAGACGGGATTTACCTACAGTTTTTGGGTTCTCCCTTTAAAATGGTACATATTTCTTTTTACGAGCGAGCGAGCGCAGCGAGCGAGCGAGTTCATACTGAATTAAGGGAAAATTCTGAGTATGAGCGGCCGGCCGGCCGGCCGTGGGGACGCTCTTCAAAAGCTCTTCTTAATATCTTAGGAACGGGACACCCGATGGACAAGCGGTCTTCTTTATTGAATGTCACTTGGACGTAAAAGTTCTGTGGTGTGATGGCCACCATGCGTTCTTGCCAACCACCGCACGTGGCGCGTGGTAAAGTTGGACATTTTTTAACACGCGCACCGGCGGGGGGGCGGATATCCGCCCCCCCCCCACTGAGGTTTTTCGCGGATAGCGGGAAGCGCCGCGAAATTTGGTACGACTATTCTCCCATCAATTTTACACATGGTGTGCAAGTTTGAACCTCCTAACTTTTAAGGTCAGGTCACCAGGTCACTTTGAATGACCCAACCTCAAGTCACTTTTTTGCAACTTTGTCACCGTGCCAGAGCTACAGTAGATTTCGGAGGCCTTTAAAAGTCGCAGGATGTCATTAGGGCATTAGTAGCTACAATTTGTATATCTCGGAATTTTGATATCGGTGACCTAAGGTCAGGTCAATTTCGCGACCTCCCCATTATAAGTCAATGGGGGAAAAATCAACTCCCTGTTTTTACCACAAAAACGGGTCGGAATGGCCCCATATACCCTACATGACTTCATATACGATCAACCTTCACTACCTTGAGGTCTGTTTTGCTATTGGGCAGTTGTAAGGTCATGTGACGTCATCAAAGGTCACCAAAGTTTTTTTGCCAATAACTCCGTACAGAAACAAGATACAGCCGCGCGGATGGTCTCATTGTGTTCAGCTCGTCAAGACGCATCGACTGATATACATGATGACCTCGAGGTCACGTGACCTGAGGTAAACCTTTGACCTTGACCTTTCGAGGTCAACATATATCATTCGATGCGGATTGACGAGAGGATCACGATGATGCCCTTAGTTTGTTCCTATCTTGACTAATTCGAAAGTTATTCGAGAAAAACTCTCTCCATATCTAGCGCCGCCATTTTGACTTTTTCGACCCCTGTGACGTCATCTTTGACCTGACCTGAAAATGACCTTAGTAAAAATTGTAGACCTTGTACGTGCATATCCGATGCCGTTTACCGCTTGTCGCTATCTTGCTTCGTTCTCGAGATCATCGAGGTCATCCGCCCCCCCCCCCGTCGGTGCGAAGTTGGCGCAGACCCCCGTCGGTGCGCGGGTTAAGAACCCCCAAAATTGCAACCTCAATAACGGCACAACGGTTGGGCCGATTCAATTGAAACTCGGTACACAGTTAGGTCTCCATCAGATAATTCATCTGCATGTGTTAAGCTTGGGGTGCTACAGCACGTGCGCACGTGTAGGGAGCGCTCCCAGATCTCGAGAACGGCTAGGCCGATTGCGCTCAAATTTGGTACACGGCTGGGGACTAGTTAGTAGGGTGCCGTGCAAAAGTCAGTTTGGACCCCGCTTGCACGTGCGCACGTGCAGAATGCCGCTTCCAGATCTCAGGAGCGGCTGGGCCGATTGCGTTCAAATTTGGCACACCGCTAGCGACTGGTTAGAATGAGAAGGGTGCTTTGCACACGATAGGCGTTATCACAAGTGTATTCGCGGCCATTGGGGCGACGTAAGAAAAGAAGAAAACAACTGGCCCCAAGAACTTTAAATTATCAGTTAGCATGCATCTTTTCCTTGATCTGTAGAGAATTTACCATTAATTGCTAGAGAAAATTGCATTTAAAATCTTCCATCTATGTTTTTTTTCATCGTTTGCACAATATGTTCTTTTATTAAGCTAAAAACACTAATTAGAAATAGTTCCCGCATCATCAAGAACAATAGGGAAGGCTTGAAGTGAATACAATAATCTAAACGGTGTTGTAATCTATGTGAAAACACTTCTAAAATTGCCTGTAGAAATATTGAAGGCAAAAGTTCAACTTTTTCACAAGACTGATGTCTATAAACCTATTCAACGTGTGACAACTCAGCCGGTATTTCGTCGTCTACAGCCCAGCTTTCCCTAGTGACCGATAGAGGCGCTGCTATCGATGTCCGCCCGTGCCGCCTAACGAAGCCCGTTGGAAGTACCCTCTCGCCCTTGCGCAGTGCAGGGCTCACTATCTCGCTCGCTCGTTCTTCGCCCAAAAGGCGTTTTACTGGTAACATCTTGCACGAATGTAGCTCTCTGTGACTTCTTCCAGATAGGCGCATTTTGGTGCAGCTAGTAATAATAATGAAAGCTATTTTAGTTGAAGTCTATCTCAAATATCTCAAATCCCCAAAGAAATGGAAGAAAATCGATCACGTTAGATATCTTTTTTAACGCCATGTTGATAGAATTTTGTCACTTTATGTTATTGCTGCCATAATATGATGTGGACCTGAACTTTAAAAATGGCAGGATGATTATCAAGGGCTATTTAAAAGTCAACGACTGTGAAATTTTCAAATTAAGTTGTTATATATAACTCTGGTGATATATTTTTACTTACTGTTTATCAAAAAACGAAAGCCCAGAACAAAGCCTTTTTCTAGCAACGGCGGGTCAATGTGCCGTGACAATAAGATAAGCGAAAGAGCATTTAGGTGCACCTCTTTTGCACAAAAAAAAAACTTGAACTCTCGTCTCACATTCAGGATAAAATAGGAAGCATTTCAAACTGCATAGAAAACAAACGTGTAAATCACTGATTGGCTTGAGCCGATGAATTACGTTCTACGGGTAAGTAAGTAATCGTTGTTGCCTAAATATCATCGTGCATCTCTACTCACCATCACCACGCCTGCAGAGCGCAGAGCCGCTTCCTCGCCAGCTCCCACCGACCTCGCGCGACGCTACCCGACGACCCACTGGCCGGTGCAGACTGACCCTGACCTCGCCCCGGGGCATGGCCGGTCACAGGCGCGGCGACACTGCTGACAGCCCACTCACGGAGGCGGCCGGTAGCGTAACTTACAGAGACCTCTGACAGATGGCAGCACCGCGATACCGTGCGCTGAAGGAATACTTGGACGCATCATTACCAGGGCTCTATTCACGACGAGCTGTTCACGACCGTTCACGTTGAAGTGACTGTTCGTTTATGCGGTTGGGTGACCTGTCCCACCTGTAGTCTGTCCCATCCTATGCGACGGCGTTTATCGCGCTGGAGCACCTATTGATCAAATCAATATCTCGCCTTGCTCTCCCATCCAACGACACCAAAGAGTCATGCTTTATTTTTCTTAAATAGTTGTATATTTTCAAAAAAAATATCATACCGATAAGCACACATCGCAGAAGACTATAAATCGTCCCACGAGGCATTTACAGTTTTCATTCGCGTTTGCAATACCGAACTGGCTGCTATCCTACAAAATTTATACGATAACGCTTCATTGTTCGGTGCGCATCTTGTGACTAAAACAGTTCAGCAAACAGCAAAAGTGGTGTAGCATTTCAATTCACACCTTACGTCGTGCCCATTTCATCCCATTGAAACATTGAAACATTGAAACTTTGGGACCATGCGTTTTGATAATTTTGATGACTTCTACAATAATCGACAGTTTTGCTTCTCGATCAGTAACCTAAAATGTTGGAAGGCACCAGCGATAAAACGTAGTATTTTCTCCCAGCGGATTTGTCGGCGTATTTTTCCGTCTTTCGTGCTTATTTCGTCCCTGGTTTGTTTCCACTCAGCCCCTGACTTGCTGGCGGCACTTTCCTCGGCGGTATCGGAGGCAGCACTCCCGCGTCCCGTGCGCTGACCTCCGGGGCCGCGCTGGGGTGCTGGCTCGGCGCGCCCGGTCTCCTGCCGCCTGTGGTCGAGCCCTCTCGACTGCCGAGTGGCGACGGACTCGGTCGGGACGCTGTGAAAATGTCGTCCTCAGCGGCGCTGGGCGACTCGTCTGGAGGCGGAGCCGTATCTGTCTCGGCAGCCGGGCCTGCCAGCACTGTGGCCAGAGCCAGAGACGTGCCCGCCTTGGCAATTTCCACCACCCTGCGGAACTCCTGTGAAACAAAGACAAGGTAACTTTAAAGCACATGCCCATGTCTATCATATCGTTTGAATGCTCTGACATACTCTTACTACCTATTAAGTGTCGTTTGTATGCGTATGTATTGTCTATACTTATACGTTGTCAAAACATACAGCAAAGCTAGAAATGCCAGGATTAGTGACGATAAATGCGGGATGACAAGCCCTGGAACTCACCTTGTCCAGTGGCGCTGCGTATGACTTGAACGTTGGAGACAAGAGTGTCCCATAGTACCTGGTTGATTCTCGGTTCCCAGAAGATTGTCTGTCTCGTCGGTCCAACGCTGATGGTTGTGATTTTTTCCTGTCTGGTAACAAAGTGCATATTAAAATGCCATTTTTCGTACTTTCTGAGTACTTACAATTTCGAACAGAAATTACTACAAAACAATTATTCGTTTTCCTCATACAGCATGAAGATCATTTAAAATTGTAGTTGTGTAATTAACCGTTTTCACGATGGGCTATCCGGTGAATGCACCTACTTTGACCAAATCTGCACCTTATCCCGCGCCCTGCTGGGGGTCCTGGATTTCCACGCCCTGCTGGGGGGGTGTTTGAACACCCCCCCCCCCCTTGTAACTCGGCTCCTGGGCCACGTAGCGATACGCGGAAGGCGGCGTTCGAAAGAGCGTCAAAAATAATGACGAAATCACTTCGGTCAATTTTTTGGTCAGGTCAAAGGTCAGGTCACCAGAGGTCATTGAAGGCAAAATTTCGCCGATTTCCAGGTCGAATGTCGAAAATTTCCAAGAAGCCAACGCATAACTCGGGAACCAATAGAGCTACAGCGCCGCGGAAAAGCGCATTCGATAGCCCTATTAACGCCCTTTCTGATTAATTCTCTCAGATTTGACCTAACGTCAACGGTTTTGCCTGCAGGGGGCAAAAAACTGCAAAAATAGCCGATTTTTTCGAAAACAGTTTTTCTGCAATAACTTTTGACCCAAGCCTTGTACGAGCTTACTTTTACCGGCATCGTGTTCCTCTCGTCAAGACGCATCGAATGAACTATAACTTGACCTTGAAAGGTCAACTTGAAAATTTGACCTCAGGTCAAGGTCATGACCTGACCGGAAAGGGTCATGTTGCATATCAGTCGATCCGTATCGTCGAGCTGAACACACCTAAGGCGTTTTCATCGCTCTAGCATGCCTCTATCAAAAGTTATTTGCGAAAAACTGATAGATACCATTCGTGACCTAAGATGACCTCAGGGCATAAACAAGGGTCACGGACACCATTTTCAAGTTCAGTGTGTCTAAACCACTTGTAATTCGGTGTTTGGGAGTGTTTATAATGTCTTTCATCCAAAAGAGGCGCATTTCAATTTTCTCCCATTGACTTATAATGGGGAGGTCGCAAAATTGACCTGACCTTAGGTCATCGATATCAAAATTCTGAGATATACATTTTGTACATGCTATTGCTCTTAGCAATCGCTGAAAGTTTCAAACTGATCGGTCACTCGGTGTAGCTATGACAGACATTGAAAGTTTTTATGAGGTGAGGTCACTTCAAGTGACCTGGTGACCTGACCTTGAATGACCTTGGTCTGAAATTTTCACAACATGTGTAGAATTGATGTATAAAAAAAACACATCCGTTTTTTTATACATCACAAAAACGGCGGCGCTCCGCGCCGCCGTTTTTGAGATATTCGCGAAAAACCACAAGGGGGGTGTTCAAATACCCCCCCCCCAGCAGGGCGCGGGTTATCTCTTTTACAGCAAATATCTTCATTTTATGAATTTATTTCAGTCTTTTAATCGATGATATTCTCTGATAATATGACAAAGAAAGAATATAAACAATTAGGTCAACCCTAGCTGATAGCTTCTAAGAGATACACTGAACCTAATTTGATCAAATCTGCGCCTAATCGGCACCAAATGGCAAATGTGCACCAAATGTGTACCAGATGGCCGTCGTGAAAACGGCTATTATGTGGCCAAATTAGTTGGGTATTGATTAGGTTAGGTATTTCTCAAAATGTTCTTGGGATCGAAATACTTATTCAGTTATTTGGTTAATTTTCATGTTGTTTCTCCAGGGTTGCGTGTTTGATATCCAATGTGTCAGTAATGTTCTTTGCGCATTCGGCACGTCCACAATAAACAACTACATTTATGCATCGAAACATCTTGTAACCACTAAAGGCGTTCAAAAGCGACCTTACTCTTAAACCGGGAGAAGAATCCGCTCGTCTCGACTTTGGCTCCCATTTTCGGGCGGCTGTCGTCCTGGAGGAACTGCAGGAAGCTGCTGCGGTGCGTCCAGGACTCGATGACCGCCTTCAGCTCGTCGCGTGTGTACACACAGTTGTTGTAGTCAGCCAGCAGGTCTCTCAGGTCATCCTCGGTCGTGCGCAGCTGACGAGGACGCCCTGCGAGACGAACACAGCAGCTCTGGGCTCTGAAGGCGTACGACTAGGTGAGGTAAACGTTTATGAGAGCAGCAGTTTACGGTAGCCCGGTGACCCACGGGCTACCGTACTTAATTACATGAGAAAATTTGTTATCGGCCTTATTACAGTTATACGGGGACTGAATGTAGCCCACATGATTTAGCCGGCTATTCATTAACCTTCGCCCCAGTGGGGGGGGGGGGGGCATATGTTACCACCCTGTCGCGTTTTTTTATTGCGTGTGAATAAAAACCGCGGCGCGTAGCTTGGCATACCTTTTTGCACATCAATTTTGGACAATGTGTGAAATTTTTGACCCCAGGTCATGTCAGGTCAGGTCACCAGGTCAAGTTAACTGACTAAGCCTAAAATACGTTTGCAATCATGTCCAGCCTGCAGTGTTTGTCAGAAAGGTTTTAAACTTGGTGGATTGCATGATGTTATGGGCGCCTACAATTTGTATATCTCGGATTTTTTATATCCGTGACCTAAGGTCAGGTCAGTAGCGTGACCTTTTCATTACAAGTCAATGGAGAAAAATGAAAATGCCTCTAGATCCGTGTGTACTCATAGGAACAGTCCAAATAATTCAGAATCACAATGATTTCGACCACCCGTGATGACCAACGTGTCATTTTTGCTGATAGCCTCTAGAAAGGTCATCCGAGGTCATTTGAGGCTACAAACAGATTTTTGCCAATAACTCGCGATTGGAAAGAGATAGGACGGTGGGGATGGTCTCCTTGTGTTTGTCTTGTTGAGACGCATCGACTGATGTGCAACATGACCTTTTCCGGTCAAGTCATGACCTTGACCTGAGGTCAAATTTGGAAGTTGACCTTTCAAGGTCAAATTATAGTTCATTCGACGCGTCTCGGCGAGAGGAACACGATTCTGGCAATAGAAATGTCGTGGCTTTTTTTTTAGTCAAAAGTTATTGTCGAAAAACACTTTTCGTAAAAACAGCTATTTTGGAGTTTTTGCCCTCTGGAGGCTAAACCGTTAACCTGAGGTCAATTTTGATTATGACCTTATCGCAAGAAGAGTTCAAAAGCTATCGATTGTTTTTCCATGCGTTTTTCTAGCTATCATAACTCCTGAGATAAATGCATGTTTTCTGAAAAATATTATGACATTTGGCAAATTTTGACCTTTGATGGCCTCTAGTGACCCCAATATTGCTCTAAGATGAAAAATGACTGAAATATTTTCAAACGTACGCATTGAGAGCTATCGACTGCTTTTTACCGCGTTTTTCTAGCCCTCTTCGTTTTTGAGTTAGAGGTGGGTGGTAACATATGCCCCCCCCCCCCCCACTAGGGCGAAGTTGGCTGAGACCGCCACTGATCTTGTGCATATGTACTTTTCGTTGCGAGTTTGAAATTGTCTCAAATATTTTGTTATCGTTTGTGCTAGATACTCCTCAGGGTTAGTCGTAGAGTGAGCTTATATGGCTATGACAATTGTGATGCCTATTAGTTAGCTCGACGCTTCCAAGTAGGTATACGTTTGTTTAGTCCTAAGGTCTGCTGTATCAGATTAAAAACGCACTGGTAACTAGCCGGTATGCACCGGGAGGCAGCGTCTGTCTGGCCGGCTGCTCCGGTGCCGCCGCCGCCCCTCTCGGCCGCACTGTGATGGGCCTCGCGGCGTCCGGGGCCTCCTGACACTCCTCGGCGCTGCGGTAAGCACTGGATTCCTCCGAGGAGGCTGTGCGCAGTGACGAGCCAGACGTCCTCGCCGAGGGCTGCTCGCTGCTCGGCAGGTTCACCTGCCGGGCGAGCTCCTCCGACAGCGTGAGGTCCCTCCGGTGGGACGGAGCGACCTGCGGTTTGACCCGAGGGGGTGGGGGAGGAGGGACATCCGGCTGCCCGCAGATCACGTCTGAAACAGTCAGCAAGTTGTCAAGTCAGATGTTTTTCACTGTGGTCTCATGAGTGCTATAAAACACGTGAAAATGTGCTTCCTGCTAATTTTAGCATGTATTTTTGCATGCATTTTGCTAATATTAGCATGTATGTTGCATGTATTTTGCTAATTTTAGCATGTATTTTTAATGAATTTAGCCATTTTAGCATTACACAGCTTTATGGGAACCTCCCTTTGGCATCTGGTGCAAAGTCAATGAATGGATCGTCATCGGTATTGAGTGCACTTCTTTGGATCTACGTGTTCGCTGTTAACGCAACACTTGCCTTCTATGTTCATCGTAAAGCATGGCCCACTCGTTAACAGGTCTTGATGAACTTCTGCAAAACAATGCAAAACACCGTTAACTTGTTAACCATGGGTCACTGATGTATGTACAAATGAGAGTCAACCCCCACCGAGTTAACATTGTTTTTTTTACATACGCGCCGGCAGAGAAGATAGTGCAACCCCCCTCCTGGCCGTTTCGCCCCTGATGGAGCTAGAGCGTCACGGAAAAAATGAGCGCCTGTGCGCCGTTACAAGACGCAACGACTGATACCCGATTTTAGGGTCTCAGACCAATCGGTAACCTCTGAGGTCAGGTCAAGTGGGGCAAGGTACGGGTTCGGTTTTTGATAAATAACAATTCGCAAAAAAACGGGCGCAGCGCCGTGAGTGACATTTGCCAGTCTCTCAGGCGTGTCGAATGGTATGCTTTGTGTTCGGGTACTTGAGGTTAACTTAAGGTGTTTATCTCGGGTCAAGGTCAGGTCAGAGCCCACAGGTCACAAAAAGTCAAAGGGGGGGGGGCATATTGCATATCATTCGATTTGGCAGGTCTTCCAGAGTCCATTGGTGGCTTTTCCAACTCGTTAGCTCAATTTGATCGGAAGTTATTGACGAAAAACTCTAATGGGTCTTATGGGTCTTATAGATGCGGTTGACGTCATAGGCACGCAAGTTCAGCAATGTAAAAGCAAAGCATCGGACCTCGCAAGAAGTGCATGAAATCACGATTTCGTGTGCTTGAGATAGTTTGAGATTGTTCCCGGCGCCAAAATAGCAGGTTTCTCTCATTGACTTATAATGGTGAGGTCACGTGATCCGCCTGACGTCACGCGACCTTTAAGAAAAATCCGAAAGATACAAGTTGTTGTTCATCGGTAGATTTGGTAGATATTCCTTTTTGCTCTTTCTGAACCACGGTACATAACTTTTACCTATGCCAATTCATTAATTCAAAACATTCATTTAATTCATTACTCAACAATTCATTTAAATTAAATAGCGCAAGGGCACTGAAAGTTTCGTCGCGATCGGCCGCTTTATACGCGAGTTATTCGCGAAAAAACCGAGGGGGTCCGTTCGACCCCCCCCCCCATACGGGCGAGGGTTAATTGACCTAACCTGAGCTGACCTGACCTAGCCCAAATACAAGTGAAAACTTCATGTGTGATCAAAACTAGCATGAAATTCGTGATCAGCAACCCGAAAAAATATCTACTCTACTCTAGCAGGTCCAGATTTCCCCGACTTTTGGGTCATTGACCTGACCTTGAAGGTAAGCTGTAAAACGCCGCACACAGGCGAGAATAAAAAACCTATCGATCTCTCCTTCTCTCCATGTTTTACCTTCTTTATGCATTGAAAGATACGGCCCACTTGGCAAGATGTCCAGGTCAGTTTCTGCAATGTAGAAAGTTTATAGAATTACTGCATCTTCTCGGTCAAATTGGTTACCCTGGGTTACTGCAAAAGATGAGTTGCATAATATTGTTCACATAAGGTAGCAGAATCACAATTTTATACGACCACATCATTGCAAAAAAATAAGTACGATATGATAGTCAAAAGAAGTGTTACACACAAACATACAAATTACGATACGATGGTGAAAGTTTGCTACAAGAAATTTCACCTTCGAAAGATATTTACTGACTGCATACAATTCCAATGAAATAAATCTAACTGTTGGATTATTACCTAGACCTTCCTTGTGCATGGTCAAGTAGGATCCACTTCTCGCTGTGTCCAAATCTGAAAAGGAAAATAATTGTTACGGGAGGGAAGTTGATTCAAAAGTGAGTGATGCAATAGTACACATTGCATAAGATGCAGTGAAATGACTTTGAATATTTTAACAAGGAGTGTTGAGTATGGAGTATGATAGTATCATTAAATATGCCAGCAGGATCGCACTAACCTTGCGTGATCCACTTTGCCAGGGCGTCGTTGCGAACCTCAGCATATTGAGGTGATGAAGGGCTGCTGGGATGGTGAAACACTGACCACTCTTCTTTGGCGAGTATGTCAGGCTGCATCCACTCTGAAATCCCATTCAAATCGTCATTTTTAGAATTTAATTGATCTACTTGAGTTATTCGTCTAATGCCGAATAGCTTTGTTACAATTCAATTACCGGGATTGTCCATTCATAAACATAATATCAATTCTGTCTCTCATACATGAAATAACTCATCGACAAATTGTTAAACCGGTCAGGATGACTATCTTCAGCAAACAGCAGCTTATGATTGGCTAAAAAATTATGTATTGGAAATTTTTCTTAGGTTTCCCGACGAGCTTTGTGTGGCGATAACACAAAGCATCTTACATCGTACGAGTATGCATCTCAACGAATATGTGTGCATTGAAAGTCAATCATCACATAGAGGATTACAGGAATCAGCATGACCAAAGTCCTCACAAATTTTTGCAGTATCACTCACCATCTAGACTACGATGGACGTCGTTCGGCACATTTTGCCAGGTTCTATTCACTCTGGGGATGAGTTTTGAAAGACCGTTGAGTTCCTGAAAATGAACGACTACTGTGACATTTATATGTCAAGTAGACAGCTTAGTCAACATCGAGGTCTTGCCATGAGCTCTGTAACTGTATGGTCCTTATTTATTTTCTCCCAGTTGTCTCGCCCAGCCCTACCCTCGTTGACCAGAATATCCCATCCCAAGTGAATGCGCTCTTCGCACGTACAGCGTCCCGGTGATGCGTGCACTGACCGTGGCGTATTTCAGCTGCTGTGCCAGCTGCTGGTGGTCGGCTGCAGCTGCCAGCTCTGACGGCAGCTGCCCGGCCTCGTTACGGGTCATGAGGGCCCTCTCGCCGCCGGGACTATCCACCAGTCGACTGGCGAGCTGGGACAGACCGTGGGCCGCCGCCAGGTGCAACAAGGTCGGGTACCGGCCGCCGCCTGAGTACCCATTGGGGTGTCAATGCACACTAATCGTCGCGACGGGGGAACTGCCACCTGAGTACCCACTGGGGTGTCAATGTACACCAATCGTCGCGACGGGGTACGCCGCCGCCTGAGTGTACGGACTTGGGTGTCGATGTGCACCAATCGTCTCGGTGGGGTAACAGTGTCGTCTAAGTAAGGATTTAGTTTAGTTAGGTGTCAATATACACCGATCATCGCAACAACGAACCCGCTTCAGCCTGAATTTGCCCATGATGGTGTCCAAACACACGATGCACCAATCACTTCAGTAAGGTAACGGTCCGGGGCCCTGCCTGGGTGTCAAATGGGGTGTCAAAATGCACCGATCATTCCAAGCTGACAGGTTTCTGCCTCGATGCCGATTGTGCTTTTATTCATTACCAGGCAGATCGGGATGTTCGGTTTGTATTGAGAGCACTTCCTTTCGAAAAAAAAACGTTTGAGCTGAATTGATAATTTGCTAATCCTCACGTGTCTCGATGCCCTGAAGGTCGCTGGATATTCGGAGCTGGCCGATGTCTGTCGGACAGTTTTCCTCGAACTTCTCCGCTAAGACAGAGTCCAGCTCTGCCGTTGACGCTGAGTCGATACCAAGAGTCTAAAACGTACGCAAACCAAAATGTGATGAAACATCAGGAACGTTTCCTCTTACCAAACAATGAATATAGGTCATAGCACCAGCTGAAGAGTTTTTAGACGATTATACTCTGAATTATCTTAATAGGAATAAGTACAAGAGTGCAGTAGTATAACCCGCGCGGGGCTGGGGTCTCCAGCCGAACGCGCGGGGCTGGGGTAAATTTTACCCCCCTGTTATCTCCCGAACTAATGGTCCGATTTGGAAAATTCAAACGCCAATCGAAAGATCTCATCACGAACAACTAAAAACATGTACTTAATTTTAAGTTTGAGGTCAAGTTCAAGGTCAGGTCAAGGGTACAAATTGCAAGTTCCTACAGTATCGGCCTTGCACCGTAGTTGCCGAAGAATGGAGTCATGGACTGAGACTGATCGCCCAAAACGTGTTCTTAGGCTACCAAGACAATATTCGTTGCATACAATATCATTCAGAGGTCAAGGTCAAGGTCAGGTCAGGTCAGGTCAGGTCATCAAAAACAAAATATAGAAAAGGGCATGTGCGACACATGTTTTATGGGTCATTTTACTCATAGAATTCAATAGGCACACTCAATAAGTGACATGGACCACCTCTGGATGAATTTCAGGTCGAGGTCAGGTCAAGGTCAGGTCAAGTGAGGTCAAATTTTGAAGTTGGTTGTTAAGGCCTAAAAAGGTGTCTATCTGATGCAGTTTTTCACGGCGAATCGAATGGTGCTACTTTTGCTTCCGTACGAGGTCTAGAACTTCCAAAAAAGTCATTTTTCAAAAATTTGTGTGTCGTGACGTCATACAATTTTGAATAACTCCCACATTTTTGAACCGATTCTTCTAAAACTTTGTATGTAGGTGCACATAGACCACTTCTCTGACATATATTCCGGTTTTTTCGATACACTCAAAATTTTGGATTTTATAGCTATTTTCCCGAAAAAGTCAGTTTTTTGGAAAAAATTTGGGCCAAAATCCAAAATTTTCAAAAAACCGAGATAGCCATTTGATAGACAAAGTAAAATTACGTATATCCTTTTTTGTTACGTCTTGATTCCTTTAAAAATGAAGATGTTAGCGGCGTTTGAACTTTTGCCGTTTTTGAGGCGAAAATGGCGAACATGACGTCACTAAAACGTCAATTTCTCAAAAATTTTCCGACGGATTTCGCTCAAATTTTCAGGGAACGTGTCAAATTAATGTAAGAAAAGGTACTGAAAGTTTGGCGGCGCTGCGCGCCGCCGTTTTTGAGATATTGCAAAAATTCGCGAGGGGGGTAAAATTTACCCCCCCAGCCCCGCGCGGGATAACAAAACTTCGGTTTATCATTATTTGTGTTGCACCCGATGTTTTTTTCTTGTCATGAATGACGTGTGAATGAGCTAGAGTGTGTGAGGGAGAGGTGCCATGAAATAAGCTAAATAGCTTTTGCACCGATCCCAGATTGCCTTATGTCTATTTATGCGAAAATATTCAATAAAATCGAGCAAACAACAACAACGGCATACGGAGGTAGGTCATGAAGTCGTTGCATAATGAACTTAGTTTTGAGCTAAAAGACCGTTGCATGGACGGCGAACCTGGCACATGAACTCGATTGGCGACGTCAGCGTGCTGAGGAATGTGCCCAATGTCTCCAGTCGCGGGGGAGAGCGGACCGGCTGTACACCCCAGGAGTCGTCCCCGAGCACAAGCTCCACGCTCGTCTGGTCCGGGAACTCGCCGGCTGAAAGGTATCCGCGGGTTAAAGGTCAGCAAGATGAAATTCAGTGGCATACGCTACGCCCAGCTAGCTAGATAATATATGGCCGTCCCCGGTCCTATTCCATTTTTACATAGCTTCATTTCCAATTTACACCAGCATCAAAATGTCTAGGGAGAAAAGATAAATATGGTGCCATCTGAGCAGCTTACCTGGCACGTATATGAAGGCCGTGAAGGGGTTCTTCAGGTAAGCGTTGTACAGCTGCTGCTGTGGCATGCCATCCAGCACGCCACGCAGCCACACAGATAGCTTCTCGTCTTCCAAGGTCACCGGGTCACTCATTAGCAGATACAGAATGAGGTAACTCTGAAATATTAAACGGAATTTTGTGTGCAAATTTTTCTATACGGCACTGCTTGCAGTGTTCAAAAGGTAGCAATGAATTCTTGCTCGGCAAAAATGTGTATTTACGTTGTCAAGAGCTGCTTTCAGTTTCATACCTCACAAGACACAAACTTATAAACACATAAAACTCATAACAAAGATATTATCCATTCATTGTTATGAAAGTGCGAGCATATCGCTATTTTTCAGAGCCGCCATTGCACACAGTGTGCGCTAACTCACTCTGTCATCGCAGTACGCCGTGGAGACGGTGAATCTCTCCTCGTGCACCTCATCGTCACTGTTCTCGGCCTCCTCGGGACGGCAGCTGACCGAACCCCCCAGCATGCCGTGAACAAACGCCACGAACTCCGCAATGCACTGGCGGTCCTTGTCACGGAGGGCGAGCTTCCTCCACATCGGAAATGACCGGAGTCCTGTCGTGGAGCATATTGGTGCATTAGCGCAGCGAGAGAGACTGTATGGACTGTATGGTGTGGTTCTCGTGCGTATATTGGCTGAGCTGAGTTGCTGAATATTATTGTTTTGTGCTAAAGCGTTCAAATTAACGGTAAAATACAAGCCTTAAGATTGCAAATAATCGCAGGTATTCACTACAAACGTAAAAAAAACGATTAGCAGGCAAAATAAAACACATGAGCATCAAGAACTCGGTACGGGATTGAAACGTAAATAAAAGCAGAAAGTGATCTTCAAATAACTTTCTACAAGTACCAAGCACCTCCGGGCTGGTTCGGAGCTACCTTCTATCTGTTCGGCGACCACTTGTTGTTCGGTGACTCCAAGGAGCAGAGCCAGCGTTCGGTTCATGTCCAGGACTTGGTCCAGGTGCACCTCACGATCAATGATGAACGATAGGAAAGCAGGGCTCACGATCACTACCTGAAAATGGATGAGATTTACAGCATACGTAAAGTTAGGTTGTGAAGTCAGGCCGCCCACATCCACATATTTTCAGGTGAAATGGTGTAAATTAGCTCCAAATTAACATTGTGTTAAATGTAGGTACGTATGAACACCTTTTTCTGGTTTATTTTGATGTACCGCTTAGATTTGGGCAAGGCATGATAAAACGATTGGCTAAGCGCTGCAGCCACACCTCGCATGAATCCAGTGTTACCTGCAGCTCGGCCTCGGCGATTCTCGGGGTGACGCAGGCGGCGATGTCACGCTCCACCTGCGTCAGTCGACAGTTGAAGATCGTCAGCCGCGCTCCTCCGCTGCTGACGCCGCTGGTGCTGACACCACTGTTGGTGTCGCTCTGGTGTCTGCTCGGACTACCCCTGGCGCCACCGCTGGAGTGCCTACCGAGACTCGATCTGGTGCTGCCGGTGGTGCTGGCCGTGGTGATGTCCCTGGCGCTGCCGCTGGTGACGCTGGTGACACACTGGTGCTGAAGAACCCGACGCAGGTGGCGCTCCCAGGGCTCGCCGTCACAGGCGTACAGCAGGCACACCCGCGCTGAGCCCGCAGCGTCGTCTGTGGCTCACACGAACATGACAATAGGCAGGTTGGCATTGATGTGATGCAATGCATGGTTGACTTTTGCAGGACGAGTGCAAATCTTGATAACTAGGAGTGATAAATGGCAGTTGGTACCTAAATGGTATCTTGTTTTGATGACTGAACTTACAACTTTATAAGTTGCTAGGTATAATTTAGAAGTTTATGCTATAACATGAAGACAGCTGAGAGGGTTGAAAGGAAAAAAAAATATATCACAGAGTCAGAATTGGTGTATAGTGGTCGAAAACGTTTCCACTTATATGACAGAGAGTTGAAAAAGGAAATTATAGAGCAGACATGCGGTTCCGCCTTATATAGCTACGGCTTTGCGATATCAATACAGATAAAGGGGCGTTTTACGCCCCCCCCCCCCCCTCCAGCGTAGCAATGCAAGGTCTTACAGGCATAACCAGTGTTAGCAGCTCCTGTCTTCTCACCCATCAAACACACACACACATAAATGTCTAGAGCTTTATCATCGTTTCACCATTTCTCACCTAATCAACATCGTTTTAAATCTGATCCTCGATATTTCTCACCTTCTTCGAACGACGGGCTGCGGCTCCAGGCCATTTTGTGCCACTTTATTTCCGATTATTCACATTTATCGACGGTCCCTCGACCCGCACTGCTCTATCTCAGCTGAGCTCTGTCCTCCCCACTCACTCTACCTCCTCACACTCCAACACTACCTCCAGCACGAAAGCGTTGCATACACCCCTGGAAAGCGCTGGGCTCTCTGAGCGCTGTCCAGCCTAGCGCATCGCCCGCCTGCCACTATCATGTGCGAATGTGCGACACACAGCGGAAGAACTCATCCGGGCGGCGGCGACCACGGGGGGCCCGACAGCACAGGAAGACGAGCGCGATAGCTGGCCTCCCTCCCCTGACCATGACGTGTTCTCGTGACCCTTGTAAGGTCAACTCCTTCCAAGAAAACGGGACATGGTTGTAAGCTCGGATAGAGATATTGCTGACATATGACACCGCTCAATCACACAAAATGTGTCGTTTTTTTTTACAGCGATGACATGCTTTGCATTTAAACGATGCTTTGAGACGAGATTATGTGTGATCGTAATGCAATATTTTTATCCCAATGATAGGTACGCATCATTCCTTATGCTTGTTTTGTGGCTTCCTCGAGATATTTTCTTTCTTCGTATACCAGAGATGGATCATTGAGTGCAGCTGCCCCTGATCTTAAAACCACTGATTTGGAAAATGGCCTGATGCATGACAATATAAGTCAGTGATGACATATTAGGTATAATCAACAGCTTCTGCAAGAAGTGGGTACTATGTTACACCGATTTTCAGACCGATCAGTTTGTGAGATGTTTGCAGAAAGCTCAAAAATCATGGATCCGATATAAAATGCAATTGATCCCGAGCCTTCATTTCATGTATTTCTAGCGACAATATCACACACGATGGGCAAAGCAGAGAACCAGCAGAGAATACCGGCATTATCCCTCATCATACCCACATTGTCCGACTGGGTACTATTCTCGTAAGAGGCTTGTATCAAACGCTCATGTTGCATGGCAAAGCCGCGTACCATACGACACGATTACAGTCGAAATTGCACAAGTGTAATACTGATCCATTAGGAACCAGACAAAATGCACAGTACGATAACGCACAAATTCGACAAGATATTGAATCAGTGTCATTTCAATTTCGAGAAGCTAAATTCTGGCACAAAAACTATCAACAAACTGTACAAGATCTGCACGTAGGCCCTGCATCAGAACAGGGAGCATAGGCCCATGGCATGTTCGGGCGGCACTGGACCTTTGCACTGGTATGTCTCGCGAAAGGTGGGGTCACTCAGAAAGAGATGATTGAGAAGCTCGGGCTCCTTGGGCATGATGATAACCCTGCTGTTGCCAGAGATGTCAGCTGGAAGGACGAGCAGAGGAAGGCCGTTGGTGCAGCGCGTGTGTGTGAACGACAGGTAAAAAGCCTTTTCGGGGGTGGTGTGGTGCATCCCGGGCAGGATGAATGTCTGTCCTTGATTTCTGAGACGGTCAAACAAGCGGTAGGAACTGTGGTACGCGACGAAGCAACTGATCGCAGCGATAGTATCAGCTGACAAGTTTGATGAGATGTTGCGGGGATGTGCGAATAATGTCAGTATACTATCCGTTTTCGGTGTTGAAGTGTTTCGCAGCGCCGTTTCAATGCAAAGTGCGAACTTTCGGAAGCGCTGCTGCGTCTCGTGGTCCCAAAGGTACGTCAGATCCGGCGAGACTGGACTCAGTACGAAGTTGTCGGCTAGAGTGTTGTACACCAGAGATCCGAGCGTGGCCGCGTTCAAGTAGTCCGGGACGTCCGGGTGGTACCACGGAATCTGGAGGGATCCGAACGGCACAGTCAGCGTGGTGGATCTCGGGTCGTAGGTCATGCCGAGGTCATCCACTCTCCTCCGGACTTGGAACCCACCACTGATCTTCCCAGGCTTGTTGAAAGCATACAGATTGCGCAAGTTATCGAAGAACTTTAGTTTGCGGAACTGGAGGGGCGCATAGAACTCATCGAGTCCGTTAAGGGTCTGCTTTAAATTGTCCAAAGCGAAGTCCACGTGGACTTTTTCCAACACCTTCAGTGACTCTGTCCGCGACTCGTCAGTCATCCAGCCAAAGTTGTCGCCAAAGACTACCAGCGCCTGTTTCAGGAGATGATCCCGAACATGTTGTACTCTGTCTTCTCCGATATGCGAGGCCATGAGGATCCCATGGAGAGCGGGCATCATATGGCTTCCCAACAGCTTGGTACACTGCACTTCCCTTGAATCTACCACCTCTCGGCCTCGAGTGCTCCTGTCCAGCTCTTCACCGAGCGTCGAGTACACGGGTCCCAGAGCCACCAGGTAGCGTCTGATCACCGGCCACATGAGAAAGTGGTGAAGCCGCTTGATGCGGGTGTCGTCGATGATGCGACTCACGCCTGCCATGTACGCGCGACCCGGTATCCTGAAGCTCACCGAATCGGGCACGACACCGACGCCGAACATGGCGTCTAGCAGACGTCTCCACTTCACCTGAGGCACCATAGCCATCAGCTCAGGCATTGTAACAAGGGTGTACGCGTGTTCCGCCGTCAGAGCAAAGAACCCCCGCTTAGGAGTGATGGCCAGAACAGCCTCTTGCACGGCTACGATGTCCTCTGTCATCTCTTCGATGCAGGTGTTGTTACAGTCACGAGCCAGTGGATGGATTCTGTCCTTTGTGTCCAGCTCTAGTTGTCTCAGAACCTCGCCGATCAGATGACGGGTTTGGTTGTCCACTCGCGGCAGTGGCGGCTCCTGAAGTCGAGTGCTAATGCTCAGGGTGAGATCCAGTTTCGCCGGTACATGCAGGTCAACCACACTCAGCTCAGGTCGCCAGACGATGGCTTCGAAGAACGCGTCGAGCAAATGCACTGCACTGGCGTTGATGAGAACGTCATTGAAGTTCCACGAGTAGGAGCTCCACGTCCCGAAAAGGTCGAGGCCACCGAACTGCTGCAGCATGTGCACCAAGTCGGGTACATTGTTGAGACTGTACTGATAGGCTCGCATACAAGTGGAGAAGAAGAGACGCGCCTTACTGATGGCAGAAGAGCTGTTGTAGTACTGATCGTCCCGCAAAAGTCGCAGTACTTGACGGCGGTTTTTCATTCGAAGCAGGTCAGCAGTGTTGAACTCTGCACCCGTTGGACTTGGGTGCACCTCTTTGAAGCGGCCACACGCGAACTCGAAGAAGTTTTCGCAGGGGTCGACAGAATCATTGATGAATGTTATCGTTTCGGCGGCCTGCAGCACACATCCAGGCTTCTCACAGGTTAGGGGCTTCGCGTGAGCTTCGGCAGAGGCAAGGGCCTCGACGCGCTCTGCTCCAGTGCCTCCCCGATCTCTGGTCACCAGGACGGCGATCTGGATCACAATCAAGGCGACCAGTCCAAAGGAGAGCAGGTGTCGCACCGGAACCTGGTCAATGTGGAGAGCTCGGCTCAACATTCTCCAGCGCGTCACTAGTCGATTACCGTCCGGTGGAAGGAGACGAAAATCTGCACCCAGAACGCTCGGATCATCACTCCCATGGTCGCTGGCTGTGTCGTGCGCCGCCTGGTCGCTACTTGCAGAACTACGAGCCGGCGCAGGAGCGACTTCTGCGGCAGCTGCTGTAGGGCTGGCTGGCGAGGACAGGTTGCCAAGCTGCTGTTCCACCGACTCCTTGCTCGTGGTAGCGGTCATGTCGATTCTGAAAGAAAATGCTCTCGTCAGCGCCTCGTAACACCTAAATTATTCCGCGCCAGAGTGGTGGCCATCGTAGCACATCAATATGGGAGATGGGGAAGTTACGCACGACTTTCTCAGAATAATGAAGTCCGTCCAAGAAAAGCCTAATTTCTCCGAACAACTTGTTATGGAGGTTGCAAAATTATCCTGGCCGATAGAACATCCGAAAGGAAAATATTCGAGATATGTATTTATTCATCCTGTAACCCTTATCAATCACTACATGTTTCGAAGCAGCTGTTCAGAAAATAAAGAGGGAGAGTGAAAATGCCCCTACTCCTGTGTGGGTCAAATGCAATGCCTTACATTGCCCTAATGGTTTACTTTCACAGGCCCTCCACATTACAGCTTCATCAAACCGACAACCGCTGATCTGTGACCTTGGTGACCTGAGATCATCGGTCCGGACTGCCTACACCGAGGACATCTGAACAGCGTTACGGACCCGCCGAAGCGCCACCTGGAGCAGGATTCAGACGGTCGACCGATGGGCGATAAATGCTATTGGCAACACGTTCATGGTGGAGCCAGACAGCATGACCCTGTTCCACGGCCGTTGCCAACACGCTGCCAGCACACGTGTCAAATTGGGTTTCCATGGAGACATCAACAAACTCGTATCCCCAACATTACCATACCACTATCTGTGACATCAGCTCGCGAAATGCGCTGGCAGCGTGTTGCTAGCGGCCGTGAAACAGGGCTTATGTCAAATGAATGATAAAGAGAGGGAGGGAAGAGAGGGAGGGAGGGAGGGACGGAGAGACAGACACTGTGAGATATTGTGATGAGAGATAAAGAGGCAGAGAGAGAGAGAGAGAGAGAGAGAGAGAGAGAGAGAGAGAGAGAGAGAGAGAGAGAGAGAGAGAGAGAGAGAGAGAGAGAGAGAGAGAGAGAGAGAGAGAGAAACATGAGTGAGAGAGAGAGAAAAAAAATGAGAGCGAGAGAGAAAAAGAGAGAGATATGTATGGAGAGAGAAAATTAGTGAAAAAAAAATGAGAGTGAATGAGTAATGAGGGAAGGAGGAAGGGTTATAGAGTGACAGTGATGAGGGTAAAAGGTAGAGTGAGAGAGAGAGAGAGAGAGGGAGAGGGAGAGGGAGAGAGAGAGAGAGAGAGAGAGAGAGAGAGAGAGAGAGAGAGAGAGAGAGAAATGGAGACTAGAACTATACTAGACAAGTAGAGACAAAAATCGACTTAGATCGAGGCAAGACGAAGAAACGCAAGAGCAAGATACAAACACAGGCAAAGGCATATAGATAAACAGAAGCTGGGAGAGAAACAACACACGGAAGCAAAGAGAATGAGACAGGGACAGCCTGTAACTGAGTCCTTTGGGAGACAGAGAAAGAGACAGACAGAGACAGAGACAGAAACAGAAAGAGAAACAGAAACAGAGATGGGGACGGAGATGGGGACGGAGACGGAGACGGAGACGGAGACGGATACGGGAGCGGGGAGATGGAGACGGGAGACGGGGGACCTGAGACGGGAGACGGGGCCAGAAGACGGAGACAGCTAGACCGAGTCGGAACGAAGATGAGCATCGCACACAGCAAAAAAAAATGTGAATATCTCCGTGACTGAACGGATATGTGAAGTAAAACAAAAAATGAGAAGAGAATTATTGTAACGAGAACGCCTGATAGCTACTAATTTAAGGGCTAAGTGAAAAGTAAACTATCAGGTGCATGAACTATTTACTGATCATTATCATTTAATAAGCAAAAGAAAAAAGAGAAGAACCCGTCCCAAATGTCGCGCCACGTAACTATGCATATTGCGCGGACGACAGGCGCTTTTAGCCTTGCGACAGTTAACTTTAGGCGCCTACCACTGCTGTCTGCTGCCATCTAGGGACATTTAGGTGAACTAAGTTGTAGTGCGGTACAGTATAACTTCAGGCGCCTACCGCTGCTGCCATCTAGGGACATTTAGACGAACTAAGGTGTAGTGCGGTACAGTGTAACTTCAGGCGCCAACCACTGCTGCCATCTAGGGACATTTAGATGAACTAAGCTGTAGTGCGGCACAGTATAACTTCAGGCGCCAACCACTGCTGCCATCTAGGGACATTTAGATGAACTAAGCTGTAGAGCGGTACAGTATAACTTCAGGCGCCTACCACTGCTGCCCTCTAGGAACATTTAGATGAACTAAGCTGAAGTGCGGGCAGTGCGGCACAGTATAACTTCAGGCGCCTACCACTGCTGCCACCTAGGGACTGATGGGAGAACTAACAGCCCAAAGCGGATTGGGTTGGATGGTCGGGAGGCGACCGATAGTTGAGCGGCAGTTGTGCTGTTGTGTGGGAAAAAAACCTATTTGATTCGTTTGATCCGTTTCGTACCTGCAGAATGTTAGTAGTTGTTTACTAGTAGGGTCCTTGGCCTGAAATGGAATTTGAGAAAATGTTAGTGATAAACTTCCTATCGAATGCATTTAACAGTACTGTCATTACTTTTTAGGCCGGACGATTTCATGCTACATAGCACTCTATTCCGGAGGCATTTTATATTCGATTAGTGACTTTCTTGACTCGCTAGCTCAATTTGATCGGGAATTATTGGCGAAAAATGAGTCATTCATTGTCAACGCAAAAGTGAAACAGTGAAAATTGCAGGGGCCATGGAGTGCATGGAATCACGATTTTATGTGATTGAGATAGTGCTAATTGCTTTTGGCTCCAAAATAAAAAATTTGATAGCTTTCACTGACCTCATAACTTTCACTGTCCTGACCTCAGGTGACCATTGTGACAAAAAACAGCTATAGCTGTGGTGACTCTGGAGGTTAATATTTACTGGAGTCACCATAGCTATCTGGAGGTTAATATTTATTAAATCCTGTAGTTTCATCTTCATGCAAAGGGGTTCGCTGGCACTGATGGCGTTGCAAAGTAGCAGTATTTTAGGACAGTGTAGGGGCTCACTCATGAAGTCATAGGTGATAGGTCAGTGACCTTACCTGACCTGAAATTGCTTATCCGTCTCGAATGAAAAATAGGACATGCTAATTTTCAGTTGTCCCCCCGCTTTTTGAGCCACCGTGAAAAAAAAAAACGTCAGGGGATGGCACCACTCGATGCGATGCCTCGGCTGGGAAAGGTCAAGATCTGAATGCGACAAAAATTGTCAGGGGCATTCAGGATTACTCTGGCGTTAGAAATTCAATCAGATCCTTTATTTTGCTTTTACTTATTATAATTATGCTCATGAGCACGCTTACATCCAATATATCCGATGCGCTTTTTGTAGCACAACTTCTCTAAATAAGAAAAGTTATTCATTAACTTTTTTACGCCTCATTGCCCTGATTTTTGTTAACGATCGTGCACATTTCAGATTTATAAAGAATAAAGAGTAAAGAAGCAAGCATGTGAATAGGCACGGCATACAAATCACCATACACTATGAGCTATATACAGGGATGTTCACGAAAAACTGACACATTTTAAAACGACTTTGTGAGCATGTGAGAGCTCACGGAGACTTGACTTGCATGCCATTCGAAAGCCTGTTGAAAAAAGTTTTGTATCTGCATAGCTCCTTTAGTTAGCATCACATGAGCTTCCAAATAAATAAGAAAGCGTTAAAATGGGGAAATTTGACTTGGCGACAAAACTTAACGGAAAAACAATGAAGCTCTCGCGGCTGCCATCTGCCACCACGACTGAACCAGTCTACGAATTCGTCTAAAATTTGACATATTAATGTTTGGATGGATTATGTTTTATACTATTGGCATATTGTGGGCAAATTCCTAAGGAATGCCAAAATTGGCAGACTTGGAAGTGCTGATGTCAGAAACCATGGCCGCATGCTGACAGTCACTGTAGAGTGGTACCGTGCCATCTTTTAACAGCTTCTGTTAGCTACTGTAGCGGAAATGGGTCGACGTCTACACCATTTGGTGGTTCTGGCACGTCAGGGCCACCCTACGTACAGTAACGGCGATCATCGGTCTCACACGAGAACAGGGGGGAGGGGGCACTTGTCTCGCGCATCACCTCTCACCCATAGCCGGCCATTTCGCTCTACCTCAACTCCGTGGACTATTCCTGTGGGGTCACGTGAGTGACATGATCTGTAGCAGCGGCCCAAAGGACATCAAACCTCCCGACGAGTGCAGTGAGAGGTGTTGCAATTCTCCAGGCACGTGCCCAAAAACGGGGAATAATTTCCTGTTTCGGGCTGAGTCGTGCACTGCCTTGGTGCACTGCTCCAAAAACTCGTCATCTGCAAAATACGCTGTAACTTCTTAGAAACGAAAATGACATGATCCCAAAATATGTCAATACAAACTTAGAAGTCCACTCTATTTGCCCATAGCATGATCACCGTTCTGAGGGCAAGTGTTTTCTCGTAATTCGGAAATAAAATGTGTTAGTTTTTCGTGAACATCCCTGTATGTACGAGTCATTTGTACCTATACAGTGAGATGTTTTCATGTCAAGATTTTACCCCAGCCACGCGCACAATAAAACACATGCAGAATAATAAGCACCACTCTAATACACGAATGCTGTATGTGGTTGCGAGCAATATTAAAAAATATTGCCTGATGTAAAGTCACTGAAGCCCGAGGGTCAAGACTGAAACATGGTTGATTGCCAGAAGTGTAGCCGAGGGCAATAATGCTTGTTGAAGCCTTCTTTCAAGGGCTACAGTGGCGTCACGTAGGGAAACATTTTCTTTATTGCCCTTACCCCACACAGTACTATTCTTTTGTTATATGGCCCATCCCAATAACTGTCGCTAAATATGTTGCCGATCCTGAGGCAAATTGAAAAAGGATTGGAACACGAGCGGTTCACTATTGCCAGTTGCCATGTATCAATAACAAAAATATGTAATCGCTAAAGAGGAACTTAAAGGTAGTGTGCCACCTTTCAAAGATTTCCTATTTTATTTTTCCTAGGATAAGAAGCTTCTGCTTTTTTCGCCTAAAAGTTTATCGGTTTTTCGATATGTTTAACAACTGTAGTGGGCTGACCTGCAAACAGGCGTCGGCAACAATCGCGAATGCGGCGCACATGTGACAACAAGCAAAGGTCATTATAGGGGCATTCCATGTCAACCGGGACAGCCAAAATCGGCCACCTCTGCGATTTTGTTCAAACTTGGTATACTTATTGGCTATTGGTTGAAACCTCTGAGGGTGAAAGGATTTTGTCATATGCCCTCGGGCTACAGAGATACAAGCCGCTTAACTTCTGCTTTTTTAGCAGAACTGGACGTGTATTGCAATCTTGAAAGATCTATAGCTTCTAGAGAACTTCATGGGCCGGATAAATCCGTTATCCACGGATAAATCCGCGGACCGGATAGGATTGGATTCTAAATTTGTTAAAAAAGAACGGATATGGGCGGGCCGGATTTGGGAATTGAAGGTTGAACCCGGATCAAAACGGATCAAAATTTTAACATTCAACATTGAAGTTAAAAATCAACCTAATGTGTTAAGCGGCAGCAGAGGTTTGATTAAAGTAATAGGCATCATTTTATGACACTCACTTGTCACAAGACTTGTCTTCAAGTGGATAATTTATGCAATGTATGCATGGTTTTTGGAACCATGATGGTCTATGATGAGATGTATGGCTGTCTGGTCCCTTAGATTGAATTTGTTAGTCCAGTTTTGGGTGAAACCAGTTATTGGTGAAACGGATCATTACGGATATTTTTTGGAAGTTTGGCTGCAAATATACGGGCCATGGGTGGGCCGGATTCTGATATTCAAAGAAAGGCGGATAATGGGCGGATCTGGATATGACTTGCCGGATATGGGCCGGGCCGGATCCTAAAAAGCCTATCCGTGAAGTGCTCTAATAGCTTCAACATTTTTGAAGCCATTAATTTCAAACAAACTGAACCGTGTACATAAGGAGTTATGCTAGTTAAATTTGGCAATTTTTACACTTTTTGTGATTTTGAATTTATTTTATTTTGATTTAATTTCTTAAAATCTAATTTGTGAAAAATGGGTACCCTTCGATTTTGCTCAAATTTAGATATTGTGTTCCACTACACGTAACGCACACGTGCTGAGAAAATTAGAGTGGGCCAACGATAACTTTGGATGATGGTTCTGCGACACCTGAGCGAACGTCATTTCAGCAAACGACATTTGAGCGAAACATTTTCAGCGATTATCAATTTAAGCGATTGGCTTTTTCAGCGATTGCCAAGTCGGCGAATTCAATCACAGCGATTATCAACTTTAGCGAGGACCAGAATCAGCGAAACCAGATTGAGCGAACATATGGTGGTCAGTGGGAGACCAGTTGAGCGATGCAGTTACAGCGAATAACCGGACGCGACGAAAGTCAATCATTTGCTACTTTTCGGAAATTATTGCACCTCTTTACGTATCATTTGAATTGTAGAAAGAAACATATGTACATCGGATGACAAACAAGGGGTGCATGGGAGGGGAAGGAGGCGGGCAAAATTTGAATTGAAAATGTGGAACGTGAGAGATAGGGCGACGGAAGGAATGCCAAGGATCAATAACAAACTATAGTTCGTTTTTTCTAAATTCGACCCTCACTGTAAACATCTTTTTGAACATAGCACGAGAATTGCTAGCTGAATTACTAAGAAAACTGGTTAGCGCACATTGTACTGCAGACATGAATAATATTTTCCAAATAAGTTTTAAAAACCGATGATATACCGTTCTGTTAAACGCCGTACGATCTATTGATCAGTTCAGTTATAATTTCTGACAAGATGTCTATCTCTGTGGGGTTGTATATAAAGGCGACTACGAGCTAGGAGTCTGGGAAATAAGAGCCAGGAAGAAATAATTTTCAGTAAAATTAATCGTCTGTAAAATCAATGTGCGCCAGCCAGTTTTCTAAGTAATTCAGCTAGCAATTCTCGTGCTATGTTCAAAGAGACGATTACAGTGAGGGTCGAACTTAAGAAAAACGAACTATAGAGAGATGGCACAGGGGAATCCAGTCTATGTTTCAGGGACCTCACCCAAATATCTGGAAATTCGTACGGTGCTTGGGGCAATAACAAATTTTACAACATGGGGAACTGATCCAACTTCAAGCGGGGCAATTTCGCGAAAAAAAGCACAAGCAATATTGATCTCTGAACAAACGTTTGGCCACCATTATTGACAAAGAGCAGGGTGGGTTAGGGGGGGGGGGGTGAAATTGAACCGTTGGAATTTTTGACAAATGTAGCATTAAAATTGGAGCTCAAGTAAATGCCTGACCTTTGAACTCGCGACATCCGCCATCCAGTACCGGATAACCATGAGAGATTCCGGAAACATTCGTACGCATACGCTCGCAAAAGAAAAAAATCCACCGTTACAGGACGATGAAATGTTTCGCTGAACTGACAGTCGCTCAAATTGTAGTCGACGAAATA